GAAGTGCTCATAATTTCCAACGTCATATCCCACCACGATATAGCTGTGATGTTTGCGGCAAGAGATATCGAAGAAGAAATCAATATGTGGCTCACTGCAGCATCCACACTGGTGAGACGCCATTCAAGTGTAACGTCTGTCAAAAAGCCTTCAGTTCAAATGTATTTTTATTAAGACATGAAAAAGTCCACCTTGATCTGCCCAAGAAACCGGAACCTCCTGGTGCGCATGCTTGTCAGGTCTGTGGTATGGTGTTGAAGTATGAGAGTGCTTTACGCACGCATTTAAAACGACACAAAAATGTTGAATACGCGTGTGATCAGTGTGACAAGACATACAAAGATCACCAGACCTTGCAGGAGCATCTAAATATCCATAATGGTGTGTATCCCTATCAATGTTCAAAATGTGGGGAGTCCTTCGCTTCAGCACATCTCCGAAGCAATCACAATATGCAGCGTCATGTGCCACCTCGATTCACATGCGATGTGTGCAACAAGCGCTACAAGGACAAACGAGGTTTAGAGGTTCACTGCCGTACACATACCGGGGAGAAACCCTACATGTGTGAAACCTGTAGCAAAACTTTCCGATCTAATGAATCCCTGATTCAACACCGGAGAATTCATAGCGATGTACCTCATCATACTTGCCCCGTTTGTAACAAAGGCTTTGCTCAAATATATAGTATGAAAATACATTCCAAAACACATCAGAAGCCCAAAAAAGTCACGAAATCATCAAAATCCCAAAAAAAAGTCCACGGAGAATAAACCAAAACAGTAAATCGTTACTGGGACCTGTTTCTCGAAGTCTTAACTAAAGATAAAATCCAAATTTTAGTAGATACTTCAATTTTGATTATCCATCAAATTACTAAAATTTAGTTACAATTTCGTGAAACAGGGCCCAGTAGTCCAATATGATGGCAACATGAATTTAGATTTTTTAAATGATCAGCTGAGAGTTTCTACACATCGCCAAACCACGAATCTTTTTATACGCCCACATTTTCTTGTGGACGTATACTGTCGTCGCACCTGTCCAGCCGTCCATCTGACCGTCCACATTTTTTTTGTGTACACTCTAGTACAGGTTCCAATTCTTAATCGATTTTGACGAAATTTGAAATGTAGGTTTATCTCCAAACGATCCTGATTCCTTTCAATATTGGCAAGTATCGGATCGAAACTTCGTGGATTATGGCTCCTGATTGTACGAGAAATCACGATTTTAGCTTGTGGACACTCAAGAGGTCACAATTTGCATCTGATTTTGATGAAACTTGAATTGCATGTTTGTAACCCAAAGATCTTGGTTCCTTTCGATATTTACGCATATCGGATCGTAACTTACTGTATTATGGCCCCGGATTGTACGAAAAATCGAATTTTTAGCTTGGGGTCCCTTTAGCGGTCACAATTATTATTCAATTTAAAAAAAAAACGTGTGAATATATCACAGTTATACACTAATAATGGTTTATATCACAAAGGTCTTGGTTTCTTTCGATAATCGCAAGATTATTGACCCTCTAGAGGTCATAATTTTGATCCGATTTTGATGAAACTTAAAATATATGTTTATAACCCAAAGATCTTGGTTCCTGTCGATATTCGCGTAACTCCTTGGATTACGGTCCTTCATAGTACGAAAAATCGCGTTTTTAGCTTGTGGTCCCTCTAGAGGTCACAATTTTTATCCAATTTAAAAAAAACAACATTTAACTATATCACCGTTACACCCTAATGATGATTGAGATCGAATTTCGTATAAATCCGACCCCAACTGCCGGACAAAATGGCCACTCCTTGTACGCAAATAGTGTAAAAGTATGTAATACGAATGTTGTGGACCCTATAGAAGTCGCAATTTTTATTTGATTTTGATCAAACTTAAAAAATATCTTCATATCCCAAATACCCCAGTCCATTTCGATATTCGCGCATTTGAGACCATAACTTCCTGGATTATGGCCCCTGATTGTACAAAAAAATCGCCTTTTTTTAGCTTGTTCTCTATCCATATCTTGCAAAATATAGGCATATCATGCCTGGCAACGCTGGTTTATCTGTGATGAACCTTTCCAGCAATTTGAAGGCATGGCTTTGGGTGCCGCTGCTGCACCATGATCACTAATATTCGTCCGACTTGTAGGTACAGTAGGGCCTATATATTGATTTCATCAATACATATTTGTTCTATTTTCATGATTTTTGTATTAAATGATCTTGTTGTACATTGTTGTCAGTTCTTTCTTTGTATCTTGCGAGTCATCTTGGGGTCATCTTCGGCATCAGTGAATCAAAGTCGATAAATGAAACATTTTATAATGGAGGCCCAGAGCAGGGAATTATGGCTAAATCTATTTATTGAGGCCGACATAATTTTCGTCAAGGTCTTGAGATGTAAATGAGGGTAGGGCGAGATCGTAGGTTAGAGTTATGGTAAGCATTAGGGCTAGATCCAGGGTTAGGGCCAGGGTTGGGATTAGCGCTAGCCCTGTTTATATCTCTTGACCTTTGACCAAATTTAAAGTTGGCCATAACCGGCAAGGGGGGGTGGATGGTTAGCACGTGCGTGCTGTATCATAAGACCTGTCATTGAGTCAACTGGCGTGGTTTCGAATCCCCGGTTGTACGTGATAAGGATTAGGGTCGCCTGTCCAACCTCGTGGGTTTTCTCCGGGTCCTCCGGTTTCCTCCCACTGCTAAAGACCCCTACGCGATGGCGAATTATTGAAATAAAATTAAACCATATGTTAGTCCCGAAATGACCTGGTTTGTGTCGAGTGGACGTTAAACCCCATTTCTCTCTCTCTCTCCCTAACCGGCAATTATTGTTGCAGTTAAACGGGCCATGGATTGTGGGAGAAGGGAATTTGTGATGGCGTTTAGGGGGTAATCGTCCAACATGCTTAGGACAGGGAATTCTTGATGGCATTTAGATGACCCGCGTCCAGTATGGTTGGAGTAGGGGTGACGTTTAGAAATTCTCTTGGTGGCGTTTCGTACAAGGTCATGTTCAAACAAGGTGGCAACTGTAGTTAGATTGTTGTCGCAAGATAAGGAACCATCATTATAGAGGCGTAAACAAAGGCTCGTTCACCGGTTTTAGTTTTACTGCAGTAACATGAAGTACGTTTTAGCAGCAGAGCACAGAAAAGTTCAAAGTTTCAAATTTCATAGGTAATTAAACACATCAGTTGGGCTGTATTATCAAATATTTTTATAGGAAGCATGTGATACACTCATGTTATATTTAATATGAAAGACGTTTCTACAGAAGGCTGGATAACAGGTTCTGAATGAAGTCAGTCATGTGCTTACCCCACGATGTTTAAATCTATTTGTTAAGGCCAGCTCAATTTCTGTCAAGGTCGCTGGAATGTAAATAAGGTTAGGACACGTGATTGTTGGTGAGATTGTAGGTTGGGGTTATCGGGAAGCGAGGGTTCTTTACGCCCCCCCCCCCCAGAAAGCACGGACCGTGGGTCTAACGTTTCCTAAACCTTACGGGAATCGAACCCATGACGACACTCATTCGCCTCGCAGTCGCCGGTTCAGGGCTCTACCACTGAGCTAGAGCCCTGTTTACATCTCGTGACCTATGACGAAAAATTGAGCTGGCCTTGTCAATTAGCACTAAACATATAAGTGACATAATTTACAACATCTAGATGTATGGAGTTAAAGTGAGATCAAGCCTTCTATTGAAGATGGTAGGGGTCCGGTATGGTGGTAGATTGGTATCATGTCGTGATGTGATGTCGATCTTCATAAGGCGACAACCTGACATCACGTCGTAACAAGGGCAGCTGCGTAGGCGCAAATATATATATTTTCGAAGAGTTACCAGAAATGTATTTTAGTTTAGGGCGGATCAAATGGATTATCAAGACTATGGAATCCGGGAGTGGGGTTAGTTTGGAGTGGGTTAGTTTGGAGTGGGGTTAGTTTGGAGTGGGGTCTGGGAGAATCAGATCCCCCAAGAATTTTATGGAATCGGAATCTCTCATCGAGACAATATTTCTGCTCATTTAAAGCGAGAATTTCAAATTTTCTAAGAAAGTCAAAACATAATTAATTTTATGTCTTTTGCTCAATAGGTTATCAAATCACTATTATACGATCATAGGCATTATTTCCCACCCTTCAAAAAATCTATGACACAGGAAATAACAACACAATTACCTCCCCTGCTTTGCTATTGACAACATGGGACAGCCATTTTCCAACGTTGGAATTTGAAGTTAAAAATGATATTTTTTGCCAATTTCTCAGCTGGCAATAGCGAATTATAGGATTAATAGGATTATTCTTTAACAAGGTAGGACTGTTTATGGATACCATCTATTTTAAGGCTTTATTTTAATACATTTTAAAAATATAACTTGAAAATTTGCAATTGCAACTTTAAGTGCATACATATAGTGTTACGTTACAGCGACGTGTGTGTTTTTTCCACGTTATTTCGATGACTGTAGGAGATAATATGATGTTAACATCAGATTCGCTTTCAAAATTTAACGGAAAATATTGGTGTCAGTCATTATCACATATGTGATAGAACTGGTTAAACCCGTCCCAAATATTATTTTAACACAGAGATCATTTCTACAATAGCTGCGTAATGAAGGTTTCAACAAACGGAAGTGACGAACGCAAAAGGAAAACACGACTTATCCTTCTATGTAACTAACTGAAGTGACGAGTGATAACAGATACATGGAAGAATTTCTGCTCACTAATAATTCCTTCGAAGACCAAAAGTTGTTATATGAGACTGTAAGAGGATATCTGGTAATCCGAAAAAAGTAATTGAATGTCACTGGATAAGATAAAACGAGAAAAATAGGAAAAGTCCGTGCATTATCATGTTTTTTTTAAGTATATAATGAATAAAAACAGGTAAATGTACGGACTATTTCCATTTTTCTCGTGTTCTCTATCTTTAAATGGGATCATTTCAAATTTTAAAAAGTTACAAGCAAATCCTACCTCGATCGCAAAGGCTTCCTCCCCACCCTGCCTCACATCCTTCTGTGCATCTTCCGGTTCTCTTATCACAGGGCTTATTCCTACACCGTCCGCATTCACTATCGCATCTCTGGCCATAGAATCCTGCCCGACAACCTTCGGAACATACGCCATTGGCGGAATTACATGCGTTATCTATACAGCCCTTCTCACATTCACGATCGCATCTCTGGCCATAGAATCCTGCCCGACAACCGTCAGAACATACGCCGTTGGTGGAATTACATACGTTATTTAAACAGCCCTTCTCACATTCTACAAAATAATATGAACAATATCTACAATTGCAAATTAAAGAAGCATTATGTAAATGTTGGCTGCAAATGTTATATAAACTATTATTCAGACATTTATTTACATGACATGCCCATAATCAACTCTCTAGACTATCGATTTTAAGTAGATTAGAACGGTTCGGCCATTTAATGATTTAACAGTTTTTACGTATTTTTGAAACAGGTTCCGAAGCGTTTTGGTTGTGTTATGCAAGATCATTTTCGACGTTCCAAAGTAAAAGTTCGGTGCTAAGACCCCCTAAAGATAAATTTTAAATGTTCCTAGTATTAATTAGAACAGGTTTCGCTTTAGTTTTTTTATATTTTACGTTGACATTTTATTGCTTTAAATCTTCCCTAGTGCAAAAACGGTAAATTTCACCTTTGACCTTTTTTATATTTTACGTTGACATTTTATTGCTTTAAATCTTCCCTAGTGCAAAAACGGTAAATTTCACCTTTTGACCTACATGGTCACTAAGACTAAAGGTAAATTTATCAAGTTTACATTTTTATTGAAAGTGTGATTACTTTCGATCATTTTCAGCTTCTTTTCATAATACAACAATGACTGCGCATTCACTTTCAGTACAAATGAACTCATTTGAGCTTTGACTCCGAATATCTCGAAAACGCCCCAACGGCGGACTGATTACCACTCGGCATCGTATTCTACGCCAAGTTTTACTCTAGAAAAGTTTGGTCTGGTTTTGTGCCCAGTTGATGGATGAAATAGTTACCCGAAAAATTTATTTTGATTGTTTTTCTCATGACCTTAAATAATTTATATTAACTTTAGCCTCTAGAGTGAATGAATGAATGAAATGGCTTTTTAGCCTCTATAGTGCCCATAAGATTTTTCAAAGTGATCAATGGCCTTAACTCTGGCAGTTATTATCGGAAATCGTTGAAAATGCAAATCGGATATTAAAGGACAATATTGGTGTCAGTCATTATTGCATATGTGATAGAACTGGTTAAATACATTCCAAATATAATTTAACACAGAGATCATTGCTACGGGAGACATGTAACAAGCACGTGAAGAAACGGGAAGTGACGCAAAACATGACAAACACGAGTTGTCCTTCTATATAACAGACTGAAGTAACGAGCGGTAACAGACAAACGATCGAATTTCATTTCACTGATAATTCCGTTGAAGTTGAAAAATTATTATATGGGACGTTGAGAGGGTTTCTCACAATTCAAAAATAGAATTGACTGTCACTAGATAAGGGGCACGAGAAAAAGTAGAAAAATCCCGTGCATTCCCCCGTTTTTATTCATTCTGTTCTTAATAAAAACATGGTAATGCACGGACTTTTCTAATTTGTTCGTTATCTTTTATCTACTGACAGCCAATTCTTTTTTTGAATTGTCAGATATCCTCTCATCGTCTCACATAACAACTTTTTATCTTCAACGGACTTAAAGGAGCTGAATCGCTATTCTTCGGCACCTAGAAATGGACACAAATGGTCTCAACGCATGTAATAATAATGTATATGAACTGATTTATATCAAATCGTTTCTGTTTTTAGTATTTTACTGTAATTTCTAATCAGTTATAATCAGCGAAATACGCGAAGAGTCCAAATTAAATGGCAGTCTTTGACGCCTGGTTATTTCAGTCTACAACGGTAGTATTCTCTTGTGGAATATGTTTAGCCTCGTTCATCAAGTCGTTTCATTACAAATGCTGCTTGAGAGAGTTTTTCCACGGGATTCGTCTGCCAGTTTTAAAATTTTCAGTTTGTCTTAAAGTCGCTAAGTCTCTAACTTAATATCATCCAAATTCTTCGACATTGAAAACACGGATTATTTGTCAATTTAAATCAACATTGATGTTGTGATCTTACCGGGAAAAGATGGGCTTCTGATATCTAATATTTAAGACAAAATAAATATTTTACCATTGGTACACGAATCGTGTACCACAATGCGTTTCAGCGCCATTTGTAACAAGGGACTCGAATAACGAGGCTAGATATATTCCACAAGTCATGTCAAACGTGGACGCCATATTGTTATCTGGAGAGTATGCGCAATAAAAACTATCGGTGTAGACTGGAATACCTAGACACTAGAGACTGCCATTCGATTGAGTCTTTTGGCATATTTCTCCATCCACATAACTGATTTGAAATTAGAGTAAAAACGGAAACGATAATGTAAATCAGTTTATATACATTCATATTACATTATTATATGCGTTGTGACCCATTTGTGTCAATTTCTAGGTCCCAAATATTAGCGATTTAGCCCCTTTAAATATTGGATATCAGAAGCCCATCTTTTCACAGTAAGATAACAACATCAATGTTGATTTAAATTGACCAGTAAGTCGTGTTTGCAATGTCGAAGAATCTGGATAACACTGAGTTAAAGACTTGCCTCCTTTGAGTTTTGTCATTGTGATGTTAAACCTAGTAAGACTAGTGTTTGAAGCATTAAATATTTCCAGACAAATTATCCACAACATGTCACTGTAAAGCATTAATCTGATTAGAACACAGATCCAATTTCGTTTCGTTTCTAATTGCTCAAAATTTCGTTTTGCTTGTGTTTACTACACTCGAAAGTATAAAATAACGAAACGAAAAATAGATCTGTATTTTAATCAGATTGTGTAAGTCACGATCGGATTTGGAAATCAGCTAGTCTGCGCTATCATCCTAGGTTAGCTACGAGAACGTAGCTAAAAACGTTGAGATATGCTGATGTGTTTGTTTTTAGTTACGATTGGATGCCTTTAGTTCCAAGTGGCAAACTCAATTTCTTTATTAATGCATGTAACATCTTTAAAATAGATAAGTTTATGATATTATGATTAATTAAACTTACAGAGGCCAATGTCGTGGCACAACTGTCACCTAACTCCAAATATTCGCGTTTAAATTAATGAAGCGTTGTTTTTGTCTGACATTTCACCGCCATCAAAATCCATTCATAGTTACTGTGCTTTCGATTGTCCTTTTGATTGGCTGTTATAAAAGCCTTATATTTAGCCCCGCCTTCATGATGACAGCGTATCGTTTAAAAAGATGGCGGTCTGCGATATCACCTCGGTGGAAGCGGACGTAAAATACAACTAACTCATCATCAGTAACGGCATAACGCCTCGATTTTAAAAACGACGATTTGTACCCGTTTCAGGTAGGATTATATGCTTAATTGTAGTTGGGTGTTGTAGAAATATTATAAATAACAATAATCAATCGTTGTTTTGAATAAAACTATTGTCAATTTTGTTTAAAAATGCCGGGTGTGAATCGCTCCCGGAGCTGCAACGTTATAGGTAATGGGCTCATGTCTTAACTCGAAACACGGAGGGTTGAGAGATTAAGGTTTGTTATCTATCCTAGGTGGAAGCGAACGTTAAGCCCCACGAACGAACCAAAGACATCTAATAATCTCAGATGTTGAAATGTTGAAATCTAGCCAATACTATGTACAGCTGTCACCAGTTTATGACAGAAATAAAATTAAAATGAGTAGAACGACTGACTTCAACTTTTTAGGTAACTAAATATAAAATCGCATAGAGCTTGTCCTATCAACAAAACCCAGCGGGTCATTCCAATTGAACAATTAATTTTTTTATCTAAATCTAGGAAACGTCGTTATAGTTATAGAATAGTTATAATATGGAACAAAAATCACAGCCACGACGTTTCGATAAGTCAATTTGTCAGTATTGATAAGAGAATACTAAAAGATAGATTATGGGAGATTAGATAAGGAGCTGAAAGTTCTCACTAAAATAGTTTAAAACCAAATAATTTAAAGGGTATTTGCTGAAAATTTCAGTCAAATTGATCCACTCTGAACCGAGATTTTAGAGATTGAATATTGGGGCTAGCCTCGATCATCATTACTAAAGTCGGTAGGATAAAAAACATAGTCTCGATTCTCCAGCTTTTGATTTAATTATGAATGGAAGTCGAACAGCAAATCGGAACCTAATCCAATAAACATCACAGGCTATCGACGCCATCGAGAGTTGATTATGGTCTTGTCAAGTTAATTAAATGTCTAATTAATAATTGATATAATATCCCAGGCCTAAAGAAAGGCCTGCAATAGGCAGATGTAGCTCTTGTATAAGGAATGTATGGTTAACGAAACGTCGTGCTTGTGTAAAATAAACCAGTGACTGCTGTCCCATTTAAAGGGACAATGACACTCTTGTGTAAATTATCCATTAAATCCTATTTTACTTGTCCAGAGGGTTCAGAAATATTTTTAAATCCAAGTCATATTTGAAAAGTTTTACGTCAGGCTTTTCAAATCATTTAGTGTTAAGATGAAATTTGTATCATCAATTAATTGGAATATTGTAAAATAGTACAATTTGTTGACTAGAATAAAGATTGGGACGTATTATTCAGTTACAACAAGAGTGGTATTGAGCCTTTAACTGTATTAATTCTCCTGTGAGAAAGAGTTACTGTAACATTCCCTATTTGATAAACTTCTGGTAGCACACTGTGTGACGTATGTCAGGCTTCATTATCCCAGTCGTAGCAGAACAGTAGGACGTTAAACTCAATTTCATTTCATTTTTGTTAATCTTCTATAAACGATAATCTTACCTCGTTGGGCTTCTGCTAATCCTATCAAATATAAGACAAAGAAGAGAGTTAATACTACTGGTAACTCCATCGATTACGATTTGTCTGTATACATTTCACTCGTATAATATATATTATCGTTTAAACATCATCTTGTGATAAACCGAATATAACACCCATTCTCTACCAAGTTTAATATTTAATTGGACCCTTACAACATCCGTTCCATATACTATGACGTGCCCTAATCAAGATGTGCAATAACAAGATTAAACCATGTGTCAATGAATATCGTCATCCAATTTTATTCAATAAGAACTTTGTATGTTTTTCGGTATTTTTGCGGGTGATATAAAGAACAATGGGTAAACTGGGAATTGTAATTATAAGATTCAGTTTCTTCAGTTAGAATTGTTTTAAGACATTCTAGATGTAAATATATTTAAATTGTACATATATAAATTAATTATTTAATTATAGCTGTGTAATTGTCTAGTAAATATAGACTGCCACGAATTATACACTCATAAGTTAAACTCTTATCAAAGGGAAGTAACTCGTTTCAAAGCGGATGTAACGTCTTCCGATCTGTTGTAATTTGTAGAAATGAGTCACGTCTTGATTATTTGGCTGTATTATAGTTAATCTAACGTAAATATTGTTTACAGAGGGAGAGAGCGAAATGGGGTTTAACGTCCACTCAACACAAACTAGGTCATTTCGGGACTAACATATAGTTCAATTTGATTCAATAATTCGCTTTCGCGTAGGGGTCTTGAGCAGTGTGTGTGTGGGGGGGGGGGGGCGGAGAAAATCCACGAAGTTGGACGGGCTACCGTACTCTTTGACCTCAGTTATGTCGTGTGGATATGGGTGAACCCATTCTATTATAAGATGAACATGCTCTGGGTGTATGTATCTTGTAAGGTGGTGACAAACCGAAATCAAGATTGACATTGTTCGCCTTATTTTAACTAAACTATAGCCCTTTATAAAACTTTTATTGTTTTAATGTATCAAATACATCCATATGAAACTGTGTGCAAAGTTTTGTGTTTCTGGATAAAAAATATTTCTCATAAACACTGACTGAAAGTTGAGTAAATTCTTAACTTAAGTCTGAGAATGCTTTGTGAACTTGGGGCCAGTTGGGGACACGAACAGAAATCGGATTCAACATACGAACAGAAAAAGGATTCGAATTGTTCACCTTCCATGGTATTCTAACCTCCAACTCTTCCGGGCATAATCTTAGAAACCAGGGGCTTGTTTCAAGAAATTTTAACTAAAGATAAAATCCAAATTTTAGTAGATACTTCAATTTTGATTGGCTAAGCACTACAATCAGTCTAATATTATCCAATCAAATTACTAAAATTTGGATTTTATCTTGGTTAAAATTTCATGAAACAGGTCCCAGGATTTCAGAATAGCTCCGGTTTACCCACCAACTATTTATAATGGTCGTAAATGGTATTTATGGACAAAATTGAAAATACAATTGATTCAAGTTTTTTTGCTAAACGGAGCGACCATAATTAAACATAATATTTAAACTTCGGATATATCTTCGATTCTTTAGTACTGGAAAATCATTAAACATAATTAAACTGTGCGGATTGGTCAGGGACCGCACATTACAGGCAACATTATTTGATGGGACAAAGGTGGGATCATTTTTTTTTTTTTTAAAACGAAACAATCTGATTAAAATACAAATCTATATTTCGTTTCGTTTCTTTCGATGGCCTTCCAACCTCGTGGGTTTTCTCCGGGTCCTCCGGTTTCCTCCCACTGCTAAAGACCCCTATGCAAGCGAATTATTGAAATAAAATTAAACCATATGTTAGTCCCGAAATGACCTAGTTTGTGTCGAGTGGACGTTAAACCCCATCTCTCTCTCTCTCTCTCTTTCGATGGCCTACAGTACATGAAGATGTGACCGGTTGTAGTGGAAGTGAAGAATGGGAATTAAAGATAACAATTTAAGGCGCGGTTAGAACAGATTTAAATGGTGGAAGAGCAAATAAACTATATAAGGCTCCTCGGAAATGAATTCATATTTCATATTAAAGGGACAATAACACTCTTGCTGGCTTGAAAGCTCCAGAAAATAAATAATATCTCTATCTAAGTACTAAATGTTTATGTGTCCTACCTGTTGTGTAAATTATCCATTACATCCTATTTTTAAATCGAAGTTTTATTTGAAAAGGTTTACGTTAGACGTTTCAAACCATTATGTTGAATTTTTCAAAAATTTTAAATAAGGTGTGTTAAGATGAAATTTGTATCATCGATTAATTGAAATATTCTAAAATAGTACAATTTGTTGACCAGAATAAAGATTGGGACATATTATTCAGTTACAACAAGAGTGGTATTGAGCCTTTAAGGGGGTGGGGGTGCTGCGCTTCGACCTCTAGCTGGCCGGTCACCTCTGGCTTGCTGTTGTGGTTTCGATCCCTGGTGTGAGCGTATGTGGTTTGGAGATAAGGCCGCCTTCTCAACCGGGTACACTGGTTTCCTCCCACAGGAAAGACCCATGCGCGTGCGCTAAGATAATAGTGGAAGCGGACGTTAAACACTAAGAACAACAACAAAATTCATATTGTGAGGGCTGGCAAAAATCACCACATGAACCAGCATAGACTGTAACATATTGTGAGAGCTGGCAAAATTGGATTCACCACATGAACCAGCATAGACTGTAACAGATGTCGGGGGTTGGGTAACCAAATGGTTAACCCGCGCGCGTTGGGTCAGAAGATCTTTTATTGAGTCAACTAGCGTGGTTTCAATTCTACAAGGAGTAGAATTGTACCATCTGTTAGTCCCGAAATGACCTAGTTTCTCTCTCTCTCTCGTATACATTAGAGTAGATACAGTACAAGTACTTCTAAGATTACGGTAGATAAATAAATAAAAAGTCTGGGGGCCTGTTTCACCAAATTTTAACTAAGATAAAATCCAAATTTTAGTAATTTGATTGGATAATATTAGACTGATTTTAGTGCGGTAGATAAATAAATAAAAAGTCCGGGGGCCTGTTTCACCAAATTTTAACTAAGATAAAATCCAAATTTTAGTAATTTGATTGGATAATATTAGACTGATTTTAGTACTTAGCCAATTAAAATTGAAGTATCTACTAAAATTTGGATTTTATCTTAAGTTAAAATTTCGTGAAACAGGCCCCAGGTATATATAACAGATTGATTAGAGAAAATCAAACTATGACAAATTTAGTTACGAATATAGAGACAGCCCGTACTCTTTTCACGCATATCGTCGGTACAAATGGACATAGAACACGAATAAATTCCTACAATGGTTACCCACGAATACTCCCCGTTTCAGAGGATATTTGTGCGGAGGAATAACATGGTAAAGGGGCGTCAAAGACGTCTAGCATTGAACCGGAAGTAACTAATTGACCCCAGTCTACTTCAACTGATTTGATATTTCCATGGTGAACGCTGGGCCCTCACAAGCCTATTTGGCGCCAAAGGGCAGAAGTTTCAGTGGCGCCCCTCCCCCTTTACACTGTAACTGCTGTGTTCAATGGCCGATACTTACGTGGATAATGGTTAACTTCTGGGTCCACTGACGTCATACACATACATACGTCATAATAATGTGCCCTGACAGTTGGTCGGCAGATAAAAGTTTTAATTCAGTAATAATAAATTACAAAACAGAGAGAGAGAGAGAGAGAGAGAGGGTTTAACGTCCACTCGACACAAACTAGGTCATTTCGGGACTAACACATGGTTCAATTTTTATTTCAATAATTCGCTTGCGCGTAGGGGTTGTTAGCAGTGGGAGGAAACCGGAGGACCCGGAGAAAACCCACGAGGTTGGAAATTACAAAACAAGATTTAAATTTCTTTTTTCTTTGTATAAAAAATACAAAATAATGTAAATGTAACAAAGTTTTCATCGAAAATAAATAAACAAGCCTATAATGTTTGATTTAGACCAATCACATACCACGGCATATTGCTTCTATATTAACGGATAGCGCATGCGTTATAAACATTAAGTCGCAATCAACAGACATCTTGAAATATTCGTCAGAGATATGGTTGGATTGATTGGATGGTCGAGTCAACGATAATATACGATGTTCTTTCTGCTTGTTACTTCACCGCCACGTACAAACATTTATTTATATACACGCAACATACCATTTTACAGTGGCCATTTTCTTGTAATATACCTCATATGAGAAATCGCAGGGACAACAATGATAAATAAAAAAACCCATGAAAAACGTTTTCTCCGCGGTGAAAAGGTTTTTCATGGTTTTTTTTTTGATTGATCATTGTTGTCCCTGAGGTAAATTAACTGAAAGTGGTATAAATCAAAGTATGGCGCTAAAAGGCCACCGTACCATTCCCCCCATGCAAGTCTCGTTATCCACCATCAGTTGTCAACTGCAAGAAAAGATAACTCTACATGGGAGAATAGTCTGGGCCTAAATAACAGCCATTATAATTATATGAAAATTGTATTAAACACTAAACCAATTTATATAAGCAAGCAAGCAAGCCTTGGCAAATTTTCACGTGCCACCATAGAAACTGACACAAGCACGTCCTGCCTAGCAACACACGTGCAACCATAGAAACTGATATTACTGGTGCGGATTTAACTGTCTTAGTTATCAGCTGCAAGAAATTGTCTAATTAATTTATTAACACGATCAGGTCGATCCATCTGAACCCAATGCGATGCATCTTCAATATACTCTATCTTTAAGTTCTCCACCAATGGTTGGGCTAGTGGCGCCATCCCCTTCTCTAGAGCGCCATCTTGACAACCCCAGATTAATAAGGTAGGACTGGTTATTTTCTGGAAATCTGCTCGAGTGGTTTTGTTATGGAACATTGCCCGGATGTAGTTTATGCTACCTGTGTCAGAACCTAAACAGAATGAAAAGAATGTTAGTAATAGTACATGGAGATGGCTTGTAAGCCAGTAGGTTCCGGGTTCGATCCCGAATATTCATGTTAATACTAGGCTACCAGTATCACAAAGAGAGAATATTAGACAAGGGATTTACTTTTCTACACCAACCGGCCTAATGAAGACATGCATACGCCAAGCAACGAATTCTCGGCCGGACAACGGTATGTCCGCCTACTCATCATCGATGTTCAAATGTCAGGTGTTCTTTTACGTGCACATCTACGTGTGTATTGGACCTTGCTTTTAGGTCCCGTTCGAAGGACTAGATGCCCTTCGCCCGGCACCACCAGGAACGTTCACGGCTAACACAAGGATTGACCCCTGGACCGAATGTTTAGTGAGCCCGCCCCCTAATATTTCAAAAAAGGGCCGCGTTCCTGGGTCGGTAAATGAAATGAAATGGGGTTTAACGTCCTACTGTTCTGCTCCTAAACTGGGATAATAAAGACGGGCATACGCCATACAGTGTGCTATGAGGGAAATTTTGCCCGGTCAGCGGCGCTACGGCCTACTCTTATATCGAATTCCAACTGCCAAGGGATCTTTTACGTGCACGCCAATGTGTACACGGGACCTCGCTTTTTCGTCCCACCTGAACGACTAAACAGCTGTCCTTGTCAGGCCCTCCATCCTGCATCACTGACAAAGGAGGAACCACGCCGGAAAATCTGGATGAACTTTCTCGGCCAATGCAGGGATCGAACACCCGACCTCCAGGCTAGCGAGCCAGCGTCATACCCACTTAGCCACGTGATCCCCTCCTTTCTACTTTCGAGTAGAAAGTCACGAGTTCGAATCCCGGTGCCCGGCGGGGACCGAGAAGAATCTCCACATTCTAGGTCCGTTCGCATGGTAACGCCTAGGTGGCTGAAAAGTAACGTGTTTCCTAGTCTATGCTTGATGTATTACGGTTCGATTTTACTTCAAAACCACGCCAGTTATGATACAACGCGCACGCGCTAACCATTCGGCCATCCACCCCACCCCCGGCTATATAAAAATACGGTTGAAGAACAATGAATGAATAATAGGTCGACCTAGTGGGAATGAATGAATGAAATATGATTTAATGGCACGTCAGTACCAACCGGGCTATATTGCGCCAAATATATGGTGATTATTCGAGACAAGCTAAATCATATCATAAAAATGCTATGTGCATAAATAAAAACAATATCACGGTATATCACAATCTGGTTAAAACACAGATCCTATTTCGTTTCGTTTTTATAGTTCAAAGTTTCGTTTTACTTGTCTTTACTACACTAGGATCTGGAAGAGTTGTTATTTAACTCGTGTTCTGAATGGTGTCAGGAATAAGCCAATGAAACGGTCTGTTACGGCGAGCTTTAGGCGTGTTTTGCCCGGAACTGTGGGTAATCCACTAGTAACATCAATGCTGATTGGTTAATCAAATGTCTGACGTCATAGGGTCATAAGTCGGTCATTTGAACCCTGACGTGTCCTATCGCTAAAACTGGTCGGTTCTTCATGTAGTGTAGGCCATCGAAAGTATAAAAAAAACGAAACGAAATATAGATGTGTATTTTAATTAGATTGGGTATATCAAATTTAAATATAAAAACAATCTTTCGATTGATCCAATCTGCTACTGAATAGTGAACTATATTACCTGGTCGCGAGAAGGCATATTTATAGGCTTCCATATCTTCGTCTGTCATTTTAGATTTATCAACCACGCCCATTCTTGTACTACGAAATGTACCATTTAACATCTTATAATCCGTCATCCGAAAATAAAACTCAGGTACGAATGGTATCAAGAATAAGAACATATACCTGAAAATAAAAGTAGAAGTACATATCCATTCTGGAAGGACCAGGGACTTCTAGGGGGCAGCGCTCTTCGAAAAAGGCCCAAGATTCTGCCAATTCAATGAACCACTGCCATACCCACTGAAACACCCTGACTTCCGGAACTTGGTAATTTCTATTAAAACCATTCGCATACCAGCAAATTTTCTGTTGAGTGTCATTCTCGACAGCTACTATAGACAGGTAAGTACTATTATTATGCGGTGGTACTTTTTACCGTCGACCACCGCCGACCAAATGCTTTTTACCGCCGACCGTCGTGTAATTACCGCCGAACAAATACTTTTTACCGCCGACCCAATAACTTATATCAGCCGCCTAAATAAAAAAATGTAGTTCCCATCCAAAGAATAATAATTGATATGATTTATATTGACCAGCAGAAGAGACGTGAGGCGGCAAAGAATCGACCTTTCACTGCAGAGGATGCAGTCAGTTGCCCTCTTTGTGGTCGTTTGTGTAAGATCTAATATGAGGTCCCACTAATTTGGTGCTAAGTTGGACATTATCGTATTCGATTGTCGACCATATTTATATATAATAAAATCTATATTTTTTTTTATCAAACTCTGTGTATTTTTATTATGGATGGCAAAACTCTGACGATCGACGATGAAAACAACTAGATAAGAAATAATATTATGTTTATATTCTATTTACCAGGATTTTTTAAACTGTGCCAGATGAGAACTCATGTATTTCTGGAACACGGTTGGATGAGGACAGTTCATTATAATTAATTTGTCCACCATATCCGGATATTTAGCCGCGAACAGCCAGGATATTGCTCCTCCCCAATCATGTCCTACCAACACGCATGACCTGTACCCTGTAATATAATATATTATATATAGAGAGAGAGAGAGAAATGGGGTCTAACGTCCACCCGACACAAACTAGATCATTTCGGGACTAACATATGGTTTTTAATTTTATTTTAATAATTCGTTTGCACGTAGGGGTCTTTAGCAGTGGGAGGAAACCGGAGGACCTGGAGAAAACCCACGAAGTTGGACAGGCGATCCCACTCCTTGTCACGTACAACCGGGCATTCGAAACCACACCAGTTGACTAATGACAGGCCTTATGATACAGCGCGCACGTGCTAACCATTCGGCCATCCACCCCCCAGCAGAGTCTATAAAGGAGAAGAAGTGTTTGATCGTGGGTAAATTTATGTAATATACCCTGAGATATTGATAAGTTTCCATACTAATTCTGTTACAAAAATGATATTATATTTTACTGTACCTAAAGCTGGTATCAGTTGTTTTACATCGTCTACCATATTGGCTATTTTATAACTGTTTATTCCACTCGGTTTATCCGAGTCTGAATAACCTCTCTGGTCCACTGCAACTACACTATAATACATTATACAATGAGAATATTCATGACTATTACTAAAATAATTTCTGCCATCATTAATGTTACATTTTTCGCGGCTTATACATACATTATGCAAGAGGTAAATGTGCCTATTGCAGGTCTTTCTTTAATACTGAAATGCTATATAATCTATTAATTAGACATTTATTCACATGACAAGATCTTAATCAACTCTCGATGGCATCGGATACTCGAGCTTTTAACTAGATTAGAACGGTCCGCAATTTAAAAATTTAATTTACAAATGGGAAAGCTAGACTAAGTCTCGAATATAACAGTGCCCTGGTTACCACTATGCACACATCTTGTCAAAACTACAAACGGTGATATCTTGGCTCAGAATGAAGTAATTTGAATGAAATTTTCAATATTTTCATTTTAAATTTTCGAACTATTATAGCAGGAATGGTCAGCTCCTTATCTAAATCTTAAATAATGTATCTTTAATCCATCCTATATTGTACTCAATAATGAGGACAAGTTAAATAAATGGGGAGTCCTGGGACTATCTTCAGCTCCCCTCCACCCAAATAATTTTCAAGTATGTTTTTTTAATTTAGATTGTCTTCTAAGCCGACAGCCCCCCCCCCCCCCCACTGCCCCTATGAATTTTGCACTTGTATCCGGGTCTGGCTTGTTTATATCGCTAGCAGAGAGAGAGAGAGATGGAAGAATAAAATACAACTTTACAGAGGAATGAAAAATATATACGTTATGAAGTAAAAATGACCCACCGATAATCTTTAGAAAATTCTCTCAACTGGTGTCTCCAGGAATACCAGAACTCTGGGAATCCATGAAGCAGTAACATCAATGGCTTCCCCTCTTCTCCATTTACCACGTAATGAAGACGAACTTTCTAAAAAAAATAAAAAAATAAAACGAAATGGGGGTTAACGTCCTACTTTTCTGCACCAACGAAGACAATTTTTCCCGAAGAGTCGCGATACAGCCGCCTAGCCTACACAGTGAGCCACCGCGGGTCCCATGATAGCTGTCGCTATTTGATTTTGTCTCAAAATAGAATAGCCTATATGCAGTATTTGCTGTTACGTGTGGAATGTCGGGGGGGGGGGGGCAGCGGAGCTACAGCCTACTCACTGAGCCACCGGGGGAAGGGGAGGGGGGCTGGCAGCGATGTTTCTTCCGCCTCCTTGTCTTCAGATTCCAACTGCCGATTCCCGGAGAACAGTCTCGCCCAACACCGGGATCGAACCCCTGACCTCCTGGTTATCGATCCACCACCTTAATTACTCCGTGAACCACCGCGGCACTGATACAAACGACTAGGCAACACTTAGCGAGAGATTGGTAAGCACGTGCGCGCTGTATCATAAGGTCTGTCATTGGGTCAACTGGCGTGGTTTCAATTCCCCGGGGGAGAGAGAGTGAGAGAGACACAAACTAGGTTATTTCGGGACTAACATATGGTTCAATTTTATTCCAATAATTGCCTTGCGCGTAGGGGTCTTTAGCAGTGGGAGGAAACCGGAGAAAACCCACGAGGTTGAACAGTCGACCATACTCCTTGTCACGTACAACCGGGACAACACTTTGCCTAATGTATAATATAATTGTACGATTTATTTATGAAAGGTAAGCTTATTAGCTCTTTATAAGGGGTATGTTATAGATTAGGTCGAAGTCCATTCAATGTTTGATCATGTGACAGAATACCCCAAAATTATACTAACCTCTAAATGAATATATCGATGTGTACCTAAACTCTCGTCTGTCAAGCATGGCGGCATTTCTATTCTATCTTTGTTGTAAAATGCTTTGTCCGCATTTCTTATGATGTACCATAATGCTCGAATAGACACGACAGTTGCAATGAACAGGCCTATGATATAGGATAGGATTACCCTCACGTAGTGATGACTTAACACCGACATCTTTGTTTATCTTGATGTTATGATCATCAGTGAGTGACCCGGTTATATCATCACTGGGTAATCGGGACTACCTAAAACGCACGATAATACAGGGGCGGCGCCAGGATTCTCAAAAAGGTGAGGGGGGGGGGGGGAAGGGCCGCCGCAAGAGATTTTTCGAAATATCCGGCGAACTACGCGATTTGGCAGTACCAGAAATAATTACATCTTAGCAGAAAGGGTGTGTGTGTGGGGGGGGGGGGGGTCACGAGGGGGAGAAGGGCCTTTGCAATAAATTTTTCAAAATTTCCGGCGAAGTACGCGGTTTGGCAGCGAAAGGGACACAATCACCAGAATTAATTGCATATTAGCATCGACCAGAAATATGACTTGCCTCCAATAAATACATATTAGCATCGACCAGAAATATGACTTGCCTCTAATAAATACATACATTAAATCCCTTTTCTGGAGCCCGCCCCTGACCAGTAGCGGATCAAGAAGTTGTGAAAATATGGGTGAGGGGAGATCCAAATCTGGGGGGGTCATTTACAATCCTACCCCACAATAAATGTCAACAAAATACAGAGCGCCCCGGCAGAACATAGATCGCATTGCTTATATAGTTCGGGTGGTTGGATGGCCGATTAGTTAACACGTGAGCGTTGCTAATTTCAGCTCCCAAAGAGAATTGAAGTTTATCGTTCGTTTCTCTCTGGGAAATCTCGCCGGCCATTAATCAGTCTTGTTTAATTTTATTTCAATAATTCGCTTCCGCGTAGGAGTCTTTAGCAGTGGGAGGAAACGGAGGACTCGAGAAAACCCACGTTGTTTGGACAGGCGACCCTACTTCTTGTCACGTACAACCGGGGATTCGAAACCACGCCAGTTGACTCAATGACAGGCCTTATGATACAGCGCGCACGTGCTAACCATTCGCCCCCCCCCCCCCCCCATGGTAAAGTAAAAAAAAAGTCAGAGAAAATCTCACTAGAAACTAGTACTGTGGAAATTCTGAGGTTTTATAAAAGCAAATCACGCAGTTATCTTCCCTGTTTAGATATTTTGCCTTTAAACTTGTGAACGCAATGCAGGATGGTGCATCTCCTGGGGAGGGGTCGGGCCTGACACGCTTATATCGGTGTTATTGTAAGGCGTATTTTCTCCACAAATTGATAAAACAAACTGCATTACTAAACTCTTTGTTTATATAAAAATAATATTTTATTATGATTCTAATTATCATCCATGTCACTCTCTATTTATTACAACACGGTGCATATTTGTATAAATTGTTCTAAAACATAAAATGATAAATGGAATTAGTATATATCCACACACACATACAGTAACAAATACAATTAAAGTTACAATTTCATATTTTTAAGTTATATTTTTAAAATTTATTAAAATAAACACCTAAAATAGATGGTATCCATAAACAGTCCTACCTTGTTAAAGAATAATCTTATTAATCCTATAATTCACTATTGCCAGCTGAGAAATTGGCAAAAATATCATTTTTAGCTTCAAATTCAAACGTTTGAAAATAGCTATTCCATGGAGGTAATAGGAAAACAAGGGAGGTAATTGTGTTATTATTTCCTGTGTCAATGATTTTAAAGGGTGGGAAATAATGCCCATGATCGTATAATAGTGAGTTGATAACCTATTGAGCAAAAGACATAGAAATAATTATGTTTTGACTTTCTTAGAAAATATGAAATTATCGTTTTAAGTTAATAAGTACACACATACAGTAACAAATACAATTGAGTTAATTAGAGTGCATACACATTAGACAGTCAAAAATACAATTGAATTAGTTGGTGTATACGCTCGTATATACAAACTACGTTAGGAACAGGGAGCAAGGTGGGTAAATCGATGACTTGCTAGCCTGCAGGTCGGGTGTTCGATCCCTGCATTGGCTGATAAAGTTCATCGGGTTTTTCCGGCATGATCCCCTCTTGTCAGTGGTGCATGACAGAGGACATGACAAGGACAGTTGTCTTGTCCTTCGGATGGGACAAAAAACCGAGATCCCGTGTATACATTGACGTGCACGTAAAAGATCCCTTCGCAGTTGGAATTCGATATAAGAGTAGGCGATAGTACAGCTGCCCGGGCAAAATTTCTCTCATAGCACACTGTATGGCGTATGCCCGTCTTCATTAACCCAGTAGGCCTATAGGAGCAGAACAGTAGGATGTTAAACCCAATTTCATTTCATTACATTAGGAACAAGCCCCACATACTATTTTAATGGCAACTCTGGTAGACATTGTAGACATTGCAGCCATTATGAGGCAGGACCGTCGGTAACTGTAAATAAATAAAACCAGTTGCTCTTCGTGCTCTGTTGCTATGGGTGAATTAGTCTCGGACATCCAGAACCCCCTCGTCTTCAAGTTCGTAGAACATAATTTGTCTGAATGATAGAGACTATAAAGTAGGCCTATTGTAGCTCGCGCACAGGTTTATTAACGGTGTGTATATCAGTTGCCTTGATTACGTCACGACCGACGTATTAATTTATTAGATAAAGACGATTAAGCATGGTAGAATTATATCAATAAAAGATAATATATAAAATATAAAATACATGCAAGTGATTAAAGCACAGATCCTATTTCGTTTTTATAGTTCAAAATTTCGTTTTACTTGTCTTTACTACACTAGGATCTGGAAGAGTTGTTATATAACCCGCGTTCTGGATGATGTGAGGGATTGGTTAATCAAATGGCTGACGTCATAGCATCAAAAGCCGCTCGCATCACCCCTGACGCGACCTTTCACTACAACTAGTCAGATCTTCATGCATTAGAGGTCATAGAAAGTATTAAAAAAACGAAACGAAATATAGATCTGTATTTTAACCGGATTGCATAAATATACCAAGCATTTTATGGCAGGATGGAATAAATATTTTACAGGACTGACACCATTTTTTATTTTTGGTTTAAGAATTGCCGCATATATTTGTTAACTTCCTCTGGTTCATCCATCATAACCCAATGAGAAGCCTCTGGTATATAACTAATTGTCATATCTTTAACAAAAGGTTTTGTAGCTTCGGCAAGCCCCGTATCTAAGGCGCCATCTTTACAGCCCCATATTAACCGGGTGGGTACTTCCACTAATCTTTTATCCCGATTAAAAGTCTTCATTGCGGCTCGATAATAATTCAGAGCTGATGTGGCTGCACCTGAAAGAGAAAAGAGAGAGAAATGGGGTTTAACGTCCACTCGATACAAACTTTAGGCGTTTTTACGAGAAAACAAATCGGTTTCGATTACCTATCTCGTTTTGTACAAAGAGATAGGTCTCGAGTTGGTATTCGAATCGGTTCTCGTAAACGCGATGAGTTGCCTCGCAAGATGGCTGAAGACTGAAAAATTGAGGAAAAATGTTAAAAAAATTCACTTTTCTTTATTATGTTCTTGGCGACACCGCCCAAAAATAAAACGAAAAGTTGTACCAGTTGACTGTCCCCAAATGCCCCGTATTTTTATTAGGAATGTCCATAATATTCATATTTTAATGTGAAATTCAAAAGAAAATGATCTAACGTCGGGCACGTCGTGTCCCTTGTTGGGGACGCCATCTTGGAAATCGAATCGTCAATCCGGCAGGCGAGCAAGTTGGAAGATTTGCATAATCGATTTGGCAAATCGTCGTGGTAAATACGACAATTAGGTGAAACCGATCAGGCTAATTTTTGCCGTAAATGTGTTTGGTAAGGAAATGCAAATCGATTAGCCCTAATCGGTTTCTCGTAAAAACGCCTTAGATCATTTCGGGACTAACATATGGTTCAATTTTATTTCAATAATGCGCATGCGCGTAGGGTGTTTTTTTTAGGTGTGGAAGGAAACCGGAGAACCCAAAGAAAACCCACGAAGTTGGACAGGCGACCCTACTCCTTGTCACGTACACCGCGGAATCGAAACCACGCCAGTTGACCTTATGATACAGCGCGCACGTGCTAACCATTCGCCCCCCCCCCCCACAAATAAAACCAACCTGAAAGACGAAGGATACTAAATATTATTTATCAAAAGACGGGTTGCCAAGCAACGAAACACACGCCCACAGTTGCCCATGCGTTCTGGCAGTCGACGCCAAGCATACCCAATCTTAATTATCAAAAAATGATAGTGGCCATTTTACTATTTGAATTTTCTAATTTGGTATTCGAATATTCGATTAAAATTTTTGGCCCGTTTTATATACAATGTATTTCTATAATTAATCTATAGTAACCCCCATCTTTTTCTTTAGTTCTGAATATTAGTTGATTTTATTGAAGTAATATTAATAAACATTTCAAAACCACACCAAAATCCAATCATTTAAATTGACATAGAATAGAAAAAAAAATTCAATTAAAAAACCTTTGATAGTATTCGATTGTTGATGGGCTAAATACTGTATGGATAACTATAACTATTCGATTGATGATGAGCTAAACACAGTACTATAACTATTCGATTGACGCTGAGCTAAACACAGTATGAATAACTACTCAATTGATGATGAGCTAAATACTGATTTATTTTTTTTTTTAAATAGGGTTTAACGTCCTACTGTTCTACTCTTAACCTGGGCTAATGAAGACGGGCATACGCCATACAGTGTGCTAAGAGGGAAATTTTGCCCGGGCAGCGGCGCTACGGCCTACTCTTATATCGAATTCCAACTGCCAAGGGATCTTTTACGTGCACGCCAATGTGTACACGGTACCTCGGTTTTTCGTCCCATCCGAACGACTAGACAGCTGTCCTTGTCAGGCGCTCCGTCCTGCATCACTGACATGGAGAAACCACGCCGGAAAATCTGAATGAACTTTCTCGGCCAATGCAGGGATCGAACACCCGACCTCCAGGCTAGCGAGCCAGCGTCTTACCCACTTAGCCACATGATCCCCAGCTAAATACTGTATGGATAACTATTCGATTGATGATGAACAAAATACTCTATGGATAACTATTCGATTGATGATGAGCTAAACACTGTAGGGATAAATTTTTCCAAATTGAAAGATCTGACTGAATTTCGTTTGTCATTTGCCTTTAATGTCTAGCTAATTATTGAAAACACAAACTTTATCTGCGGGCGTAAAACTTTCAACGAATATAGAATAATAAAAACTCAAAACCCACCACCCCACCACCCTCCCCAGCCAAAGCCCAGCTTAACCGGAGCGGGGCCCTGGACCTGACTAGAATCGCTGGGCCCATAACGCGACGAAAAGCTTAATTCATATCCTTTTGAATGGCACGCATGCGTAACACACAATTAAACGGTCTGTAATACAAGAATAATTACATGATATCTGATCAGTTCCGAATGGCATACAATGAATTTTTTCTCTTTTCGCCATGAACCGCGGAGCCTCTTAAACCCTTCAGGCCCATGCCTGAGCTGGGCTTTGTCCCCAGCACATCATCATAATATTCAAATCACTGTTCCGTACCTGGTTTTGAGAACGCATATTTATACGCCTCTAAATCTTTCTCCGTGAACCGTCCTGATTTTACCCCCAACTCCTCACTTGTAAAAGCTGATGCTAGAACTTCCAAATCATTCATACGCCAGTACAATTCTGGTAACCATGGTAGTTGAAAGAAATACATGTACCTAAATTAAAATAGAAATGTACACAATAAAATAATAAATTAAAGGAGCTAAATCGCTAATATTTGGGACCTAGAAATTGACACAAATGGGTCGCAACACATTGTAATATGAATGTATATAAACTGATTTACATTCAATCGTTTCTGTTTTTACTGTAATTTCTAATGTGTTATGTTCGTGTACCAGTGGTAAAATGTTTATTTTGTGTTAAATATTAGATATCAGAAGCCCACGTAAGAGATCCCTTGACAGTTGGAATTCGATATATAAGAGTAGACCGTAGTGCCGCTTTCCCGCTTAGCACACTGTATGGCGTATGCCTGTCTTCATTAGCCCAGTGGGAGCAGCACAGTAGGACGTTTAACCCCATTAAACACCCATTTCATTTCATTTCACTGTTATTGTGACAAGACCGTTACAATATGGAAGCGAAATGAAATGAAATGAAATTGGGTTTAACGCCCAACTGTTCTGCTCCTATACTGGGTTAATGAAGACGGGCATACGCCATACAGTGTGCTACGAGGGAAATTTTTCCCGGACAGCGGCACTACCGCCTACTCTTATATCGAATTCCAACTGCCAAGGGATCTTTTACGTGCACGCCAATGTGTACACGGGACCTCGTTTTTTCGTCCTATTCGAACGACTAGACAGCTGTCCTTGTCAGACCATCCGTCCTGCATCACTGAATGCACTTTCTCGGCCAATTCAAGGATCGAACACCCGACCTCCAGGCTAGCGAGCCAGCGTCTTACTCACCTAGTCACCGTGATCCCCCACAATATGGACGCGCTGTTTCGCTTATGCTTTATATAATTTTAACTGCCACGGTTTATATTATTTATGTACTTACATACCAAAGAGCACACTGATCAGCTAGGCCGCGACAATCACTGATAAGGATGACATCGATGCGACTTAATGAGTCCCAAATATTAACTTTTTTCTTCCGTCAAATTAAATTCTAAAACATTTTTTTTCATTTATTAGAAAAATAAATAAAGACGTTTGAATTGTTTGTAGGTAAAAATCATTTCCTATTTAGTGTAAATGGGTATTAAAATAAGTAAAATTCACCATTTAGCCCGAATCAGTAACGTCTTATGTAAACAATGCAACGCGCTATTGAGCCAATGATTGACGCCGCGTGATGTGACGTCACGTGTCGAAACAGTCATCTGTAACAGAGATATTAAAAGATCTCTGTGAAACAGATTGACCAAAGAGTACACGAGACACAATTTCTGGATGTCAAGGTCTATCGATGTCTATGAACTTTCCTGAGATCTAATTTTTACAGCAGAATGAAAAGTGCGGGGGAAATAAACGAATCCCTATCATCAAGTCGCATTATCCCTATATATTTTATTGGCGTTTGCAGTCCGCACTTTTTTGAGAATCAAAGACACCGAAAGTCTCTACTGTCTTCCAGTGCCATCAAGACTTCAGTCGATAGACCTGGCGTAGGAATAGTATCATGAAGGAGGTCAGAGTTAAAGGGCATTTTACCCCTAGCCGATTGTCAGTACTCACCATGATTTCAAAAATTGTGATCTATGACTTCTAAGATATTTAGCCATCGCTGCCCGATGTGGACAATTCATGACAACTAACTTATCCACCATTTCTTTATGAGCAGCTGCAAACGCCCAACATATAGCTCCTCCCCAATCATGGCCAACTAGTACACACGTCTTATAACCTGAAAGTGAAAGTAGGAGACTAGTACACATGTCTTATAACCTGAAAGTAGGAGACTAGTACACATGACTTATAACCTGAAAGCGAAAGAAGGAGACTAGTACACACGACTTATAACCTGAAAGCGAAAGTAGGAGGCTAGTACACACGACTTATAACCTGAAAGCGAAAGTAGGAGGCTAATACACGCGACTTATAAAGTGTAAGTAGGAAACTAGTACACACGAATTATAACCTAAAATTAGAACAAAACAGATCAAGAACTGGAGCTTCATAAAGATCTATATTGCTGTCAACCAACTCTTGTAGTCAGTTATTATATAAATGAATTGAAATGAAATGGGGTTTAACGTCTTATCTGTCTGCACCGACTGGCTAATGAATACAGAAAGTATTATTAACACATCGTCATAGATTATTATCAAAATCAGAATTTCTTTGACGAGGTCACAAAGTTGAAATTCTTGTAAACATAATTGGGGAACATTATGGCCAATGTTTCTATTTGAGGAAAGTGAGTTAATAGTCAACGCCAGATTGTCTGGCTGGTTTTTGGGACTTTCTACAACTGTGAATGCATGTGTGATGGACCTTACAGCGAGATAATAAAACGATACATGGCGAGGACTCAATACTCTGGTGGTTCAAATAGTAGAGGTATCACAGGCTGTGTTTCATGCATCTAATACAATAATGTACTAAAATAAATACCTAAAGCTGGAATCAGTTGTCTTAAATCTTCAACCATCATACCAACTTTATAATTCATCATTCCAGCGGGTTTATCTGAATCATTATAACCTCGCTGATCTATAGCTACACAGCTGTAATATACACAGTTTATAATTATTATAACCTCTCTGACCTATAGCTACACAACTGCAATATACACACTTTAAAATTATTATAACCTCTATGACCTATAGCTACACAATAAACACAGTTTATAATTATTATAACATCTCTGACCTATTGCTACACAACTGTAATATACACAGTTTATAATCATTATAATCTCTCTGACCTATAGCTACACAACTGTTATATACACAGTTTATAAGTATTATAACCTCTCTGATCTATAGCTACACAACTGTAATATACACAATTTATAATTATTATAATCTCTCTGACCTATAGCTACACAACTGCAATATACACACTTTAAAATTATTATAACCTCTCTGACCTATAGCTACACAATATACACAGTTTATAATTATTATAACCTCTCTGCTCTATAGCTACACAACTGCGATATACGCAGTTTATAGTTATTATAACCTCTCTGGTCTATCGCCACACAGTATACACAGTTTATAGTTTATATAACCTCTCTGACCTATAGCTACACAACTGTTATATATACACTTTAAAATTATTATAACCTCTCGGGCCTACACAACTGTAATATGCACAGTTTGTAATTATTATAACCTCTCTGACCTACACAACTGTAATATACACAGTTTGTAATTATTATAATCTCTTTAATATATAGTTACACAACTGTAATATACATATAAATATATATACACAGTTTATAGTTATTATAACCTCTCTAATTAGCTCTCCGTCAACAATAATTGTGTTTATTTTACCGAAATAACTTACCGATAATCCTTTGAGAATTCCTTTAACTGATATCTCCAAGAATACCAGAATTCTGGGAAACCATGTACAAACAGCATAAGGGGTTTATTCTCGTCGCCATTAGCAACATAATGTAGACGAATATTCTAAAATAAAACAAATGAATTACAGAACATAACAGCGAGACATGCTCTATTCTACCTTGTTTACAATCTAATTAAAATACACATCTATATTTCGTTTCGTTTTTTTATACTTTCGATGGCCTACACTACATGAAGATCTGATCAGCTGTACTGGAAGTTCGCGTCAGGGGTCGTACAAGCGGCTTTTAACCCTATTACGCCAGACATTGATTAATCAATCAGCGTTGACGTTTCTAGTGGTTTACCCACAGTTCTGTGCATCGCACGCCAAGAAGTCGCCGTAACAGATGGTTTCATTGGCTAATCCGTCACGCCATCCAGAACGCAGGTTGTGTAACAACTTTTCCAGGTTCTGGTGTAGCACAGACAAATAAAACCAAATTTTAAACTATAAAAAAACGAAACGAAATAGGATCTGTGTTTTAATCAGACTGGGCGATCACAGGCTAAGAAGATGCGTAGCAGAGAATATATCAGATGCCGGATGTGGTGGCACAAATTTACATATCGAACCGACGTGTATTGGCTACAGCAGATCGAACTAAATGAAATGAAATGAAATGAAATGGGGTTTAACGTCCTACTATTCTGCTCCGAGTGAACTAATGAAGACGGACATACACCATACAATGTGTTATGAAATTTTGCCCGGACAGCGGGGCTACGGTCTACTCTCATAACGAAACCCAGTTGTCAAGTGTTTGTTCATGTCATAAATCTATAACGATAAATCTCTTTGATCTTTGGGGTATAGTCCATGCCCGGAATAACTTGCGGTCTAAAAGTCGTGGTAGGCGTTGGATATATACAGGGGAATTTGGGGTTATTCTTCTGAAAGTTTTTCTTTAAACCTGTAACGGGTTATTCTTCCAGGGTTGGGGGGGGGGGGGGGGTTCCATCAGAAAACATGATCTAAGGTTTTTCTTATGGGAATTCTGGGATATTCTCATCTTGCGTACATGTAAACATAGACGGTTTATAAAAAAGATAAAGTCCTCGACGTCGGTTAAGATGGGGAAGAAAGACTTTAGAAGAAACCCTCGACAGAAAAACCTCGGTTTCCCGGCCTCGATTTTTCTTTTTCTCGGGTTATTTTCTTCAATTTTTCTTTCCCTCTGGGAGGTTGGATGGCCGAATGGTTAGCGCGTGTGCGCTGTATCATAAGGCCTGTCATTAAGTCAACTGGCGGGGTTTCGAATCCCCGGTTGTACGTGACAAGGAGTAGGGTCGCCTGTCTAACCTTGTCGGTTTTAATCTTGTAATCACCTCACACATATACAGTCATACACCCCTCACGCCTTCACAACAAATTTGAGCAATGGCTAACGAGTGTCCATTGAAGTGAATCGGACGATATTAATGTCATAATAAATAACAGAAGAATATTGTGGGAATAAATTTATTCAAATAAATCGACTTTTCTAGAATAGGCCTAATGATAATGTTAGGGAAATTTATGTTTCTATCAGAAATACTAATGCTATTTCTGTAATTTTTGATTAACACAATGGCGGCAAAAAATTCCCGATGCATCGATGCCGTAATGGTAGCTGGCTTTTTTTTTGCAGGTAGGGTGAGTCTGTCGTTCAGATTGCATCGATGCGAGAATCGATGTTTGCGTCCGATGCATCGATGCGTAAAATTTTACTTGATACCAACACTGGTCATATAACACAGCCTCAATATACCGTTGGCTGTACATGGAACGACACATCGGGGTTATTAAACTATTTATTGTTTGACTAAGGGCAAAGTCCGAGTATGCTTTTGAATTGATAACAGAGTCAACAGGTGTGCGTGGTATATATATTATAGTTTAACCTACCTGACTTGACAATACCCATAAAATAGCGGCCATTTTTTTTTTTTTTTTGCTCCGTAAGCTATAAAGGACATTTTGCCCAAACAGCCCCGTTTCCACTTTGTCAAACGTGAACGCCAAAGTATAGACGGGAAGTCGGGTTTTTGTTCCATCCGAACAACTAGACCCTATTTCTTGTCAGACTATACATTCCGGAATCTTTCTCGGCCAGCACCGGGATCGAACCCGACACATCCTCGTTACCGTGGTCCCCAATACATAAAGTATGGACGGGATTTATCGTCCTATCCCAACAACTAGACACTATTCCTTAAGCCAGGTCATATATTTCCGGGATCTTTCTCGGCCAACATCGGGATCGAACCCGACACAACCTCGTTACCGTGGCCCCCAATACATAGAGTATGGATGGGGTTTATCGTTTCATCCCAACAACTAGACATCTATTCCTAGGATCTTTCTCGGCCAACACTGGAATCGAACCCGATACACCCTCGTTACCGTAGTCCCCAATACATAAAGTATGGACGGGCTTTATCGTTTCATCCCAACAAGCAGTCATCTATTCCTAGGATCTTTCTCAGCTAGCACCCGCATCGAACCCGACACACCCTCGTTACCGTAGTCCCCAATACATAAAGTATGGACGGGATTTATCGTCCTATCCCAACAACTAGACGCTATTCCTTAAGCCAGGTCATATATTTTTGGGATTTTTCTCGGTCAACATCGGGATCGAACCCCAGCCACCCTCGTTACCGTGGCCCCCAATACATAAAATATGGACGGGATTTATCGTCCTATCCCAACAACTAGACGCTATTCCTTAAGCCAGGTTATATATTTCTGGGATCGAACCCCAGCCACCCTCGTTACCGTGGCCCCCATTACATAAATTATGGACGGGGTTTATCGTCTCATGCCAACAACTAGACATCTATTCCTAGGATCTTTCTCGGCCAGCCCCAGCATCGAACCCGACACACCTTCGTTACCGTGGCTCCCAATACATAGAGTATTTTTTGCCATGTTATCTATTCCGAGGATGGAACCCGGGACTACCTCGTTACCATGGCCCCCGGTAGATAAAATCCCCAACTGTTGAACTTGTGTACATATATTTTGACCTACCTTGAGCTGAATATAATTATGTGTTCCTAGACTCGGATCATTCAAACAAGATGGCGGCACACTTCTATCTTTTACAGAAAAAGCCTTGCTTGGGTTTCTGATGATTCCCCAAATCATTTTCAGGACGACAAAATTTGCAAAAAAACATCCCAGGCTAAAAGTAACGACTGTCTGTATAACGTCTGCTACTGCCATGATGAACTGTGGCGTATAGATAGCCTATAGTCCTGCTCACTCCACAATTATGAATACTTGTCACTTGTCGTCTGCTATAACTCGTCTGTTAGATTTAGCTTATTCACTATGTAAATAGTAGGTGTAGCCTAGATGTCGGAGTTTGGACCGGGGAGAAATGAAATACAATGAAATGTGGTTTACTGTCCTACTTACACCTGTGACAGTGTGAGATGGTTCCTGGTGTGTGATTACCGTTTAGCGCATGTGCAGTTGTGTAATGAAGGAGGACATACACCATACCGCGGTTGAGAGATCTCTGTGATGCTAGGTTCCCACTAACACGATTCACGCTACGATTGAAATGAAATGAACTGAAATGAAATGGGGTTTAACGTCCTACTGTTTTGTTCCGAACTGGGCTAATGAAGACGGGCATACGCCATACAGTGTGCTATGAGGGAAATTTTGCCTAATTTTACTTGCACAAAGCCTCGAATAGTGTATCAATTGTAGCCACGGCTAAGACAGGTTGCGGGCACAAATTGCAGCTAGCCGGTCACCTCAGGTTTGCGGCCGTAGTTTCGTTCCCTGGTGCGAGCATATTTGGCTTGGAGATAGGGACGTCTCTTTTCAACCTCGTGGGTTTACTCCTGTGCGTGCGATAAGATAATAAAAATGAAAATAAGACAACTTGTCTGCAATATCACCCTCCTCGGTGCAAGCGGACGTTTAACACCAATGCCCCCCCCCCCCCGTTTATCCCTCGGAGCAGAACAGTAAGACCTTAAAACCCATTTCATTTATGTTCATCCCTAATTAATTTGGCATTCATGTTTGATGTGACTCCCATTTTTGTGTCTCAATATTTCATTTTTGTGGCCCCACCCCTAACCCTGAATTTATAAGTTTTAATCTTAAATACCTGACCCTAACCCTAACCCTAATAGAAAGTAGGAAGTTCCATGTGGACACAGTACCGACGGCTAACCGCTAGTGATGGAAATAGAAAAGGGAGTCGGATCAAACATGATCGCCATTAATCATTAATTTTACTATGGTTCAGTTGACATGAGTTAGATTAGATACCTCAACTCTCCAGTTGAGATGATGGAATACTATGGTTCATCCTAACTCTCGAGCACCCCATCCCCACTCTCATCGTGTCATTAGATAGTGGACCCTATCTCACATGCTGTCATTAGATAGTGGACCCTATCTCCACACCCTCTCTCTCACATGTTGTCATTAGAATGTCCCCCCCCCCTCGCCCTCTCTCACATGTTAAACTTCCAATCAGTAGAAACATTTTGAATTTAGTTCTTCATCCCTGAAGAAGTTAGTATTTTTACTGACGAAACCTTGGATAAAACGATGGTTTTTTGATATTGTATTCTATTAATTATTTTATATCAACTCTCTCACATGTTGTCATTAGATAGTGGTCCCCCTCCTTCTCACATGTTGTCATTAGATAGTGGTCCCCCTCCTTCTCACGTGTTGTCATTAGATAGTGGTTCCCCTCCTTCTCACATGTTGTCATTAGATAGTGGTCCCCCTCCTTCTCACATGTTGTCATTAGATAGTGGTTCCCCTCCTTCTCACATGTTGTCATTAGATAGTGGTTCCCCTCCTTCTCACATGTTGTCATTAGATAGTGGTTCCCCTCCTTCTCACATGTTGTCTTCGATAGCCCCCCCCCCTCCTCTCCGTTGTCATTAGATAGTGCCCCTCTCCACTTCTCGCATGCTTTCATTAGTGCCCTGACCCCCCCCCCCCCACTTCCATTACCCTCATATGTTGTCATTAGATAGCTGGCCCCCCCCTCTCTCACATATTTGATTGTGCCCTCTCCCCGCAATCCATCTCACATGTTGTCATAAGATATGCCAAACCCACTCCTCACATGCTGTCATTAGATAGTGCCCCTCCTCCCATGTTGGTTTTAGATAGTGGGTGCCCTCCCTCTCACATGCTTTCATTATAGTGGCCTGCCCCCCCCTCCATATTGTCATTGGATTGCCAGCCCCCTCCGTCTGCCATGTTGTTATCAGATAGTGGCCCCCTCCTCACATGCTTTCATTAGATAGTGCCCCCCCTCTCTCACATATTGTCATTAGATAGCCGGCCCCCTCCGTCTCACATGAGATAGTGCCACCCTCCCCCTTCTCTCTCTCACAAATATGATTGTGCCCCCTCCCCTCAAATGTCATAAAATAGTGCCAAACCTTCTCCTCACATGCTGTCATTAGATAGTGCCCCCACCTACCCACTCCGTGTATGCCGTCTTCATTAGCCCAGTTGGAGCAGAACAGTAGGACGTTAAAACCCATTTCATTTAATTTCCAACACCCTAATTACAATTCAATATTTAGTCAATACTCTGGGCTCTGTGGGATAAATTGGGGTATGTAATACAGAGATCATATTAAATCTGTTTTTATAAAATATTTTAAATAAATCTTTTATTTACCATAATGTAACAATCAAACTTTTATGTACAATAATGTAACAATTAATCTTTTATGTACCATAATGTAACAATTTATTTTTCATGTAACAATCTTTCATGTACCATAATGTAACAATTTTTTTTTATGTACCATAATGTAACAATATTTCATGTACCATAATGTAACAATTAATCTTTAATGTACCATAATGTAACGATTAATCTTTCATGTACCATAATGTAACAATTAATCTTTCATGTACCATAATGTAACAATTTATTTTTTATGTACCATAATGTAACAATTAATCGTTTATGATCAATAATTTAACAATCAATCTTTCATGTACGATAATGTAACAAATAATCTTTCATGTACCATAATGTAACAATATTTCATGTACCATAACAATTTTTTTTTCATGTACCATAATGTAACAATTTATTTTTTATGTACCATAATGTAACAATTTATTTTTTTTATGTACCATAATGTAACAATTTAATGTTTATGTACCATAATGTAACAATCAATCTTTTATAAACCATAAAAACCAAAATTAAAGTTGAAATTTTAAAATTAGATTACAAGTGTTTTTGTCCCCCGCCTTTCGAAGAAAGCAGGGGACTATTAAAATGGGTTCGTTCGTCTGTCTGTCCGTCTGTCTGTCCGTCACACTTTTTGGGACACAATAACTCTCTTCCTAATTGAGCTAGAATGTTCAAACTTGGTGTATGTGTTTATTAGGTCAATGCTTTGATGGAGTTCGAAGATGAGCATTTTCCGCTTAGGGTAAGCAGAGATAAGCAATTTGATTGGTTGATGCTTTGGGACACGATAACTCTCTTCCTAATTGGGCTAGAATGTTCAAACTTGGTGTATGTGTTGATTAGGTCAATGCCTTGATGGAGTTCGAAGATGAGCATTTTCCGCTTAGGGTAAGCAGAGATAAGCAATTTGATTGGTTGATGCTTTGGGACACGATAACTTTTAATTGAGCTAGAATGTTCAAACTTGGTGTATGTGTTTATTAGGTCAATGCCTTGATGGAGTTCGAAGATGAGCATTTTCCGCTTAGGGTAAGCAGAGATAAGCAATTTGATTGGTTGATACTTTGGGGCACGATAACTCTCTTCCTAATTGAGCTAGAATGTTCAAACTTGGTGTATGTGTTGATTAGGTCAATGCCTTGATGGAGTTCGAAGAGATAAGCAATTTGATTGGTTGATGCTTTGGGACACGATAACTTTAGTTCTAATTAAGTGAGATTGATGAAACTTGTTTTTATCTGTATGAATTGATTTTTTCTACAATGAAAGAGAGAGAAATGGGGTTTAACGTCCACTCAACACAAACTAGGTCATTTCGGGACAAACATATGGTTCAATTTTCTTTCAATAATTCGCTTGCGCGTAGGGGTCTTTAGCAGTGGACAGACCACCCTACTCCTTGTCACGTACAACCGGGGAATCGAAACCACAGTAGCTGACTCAATGACAGACCTTATGATGCAACACGCACGTGCTAACCATTCGGCCATCCAACCCCTCTGTTTCTGATAGCAAAGGTGCAGTATTTTATACCTTTATTTGAGGGAGCCACGGTGGCTTAGTGGGTAAGACGCTAGTTCGCTAGCCTGGAGGTCGCGTGTTTGATCCCTGCATTGGCCCAGAAAGTTCATCCGGATCTTCTGACGGGGTTTCCCCTTGTCAGTGATGCAGGACGGAGGGCCTGACAAGGACAGCTGTCTAGTCATTCGGATGGGACAGAAAACCCATTCGGCCACCCAAGGCCCCCAATCTTAATAATAAACATTGAATCAACCATGTAATAAACATTTATATAGATCAGTAGTTCAATCAACCAATTCTCGGTATCCCCAGTGGTCTCGTTCCATCCACAGGGGAGACAGTCAAATTATCCACCCTTGATACTTCAGCTAATTTCATCGACTAATTGAACGGCCGAGGGGAAGTAACTCACTTTTTATTGTAACTAAGATCATTGTGGTGGATGTAAACAATGACACTAAGACTGGTATGTAAAGAGTTTTTTGATTGGTTCATAGAATCAAGCTACAATCAAAGGCAGATAACTTGAATTTGTGAAAGAGAGAGAGAGAGAAATGGGGTTAAACGTCCACTCGACACAAACTAGGTCATTACGGGACTAACATATGGTTCAATTTTATTTCCATAATTCGCTTGCGCGTAGGGGTCTTTAGCTGTGGAGGAAACCGGAGGACCTGGAGAAAACCCACGAGGTTGGACAAGCGACCCTACTCCTTGTCACGTACAACCGGGGATTCAAAACCATGCCAGTTGACCCAATGACAGACTTAATGATACAGCGCGCACGTGCTAACAACTAAGCCATCCAACCCCCCTGAATTTGTGAAAAACCTGTTGATGGATCCAGGGGTTAGTGGAGTAGAAAAGAACGATAACACTGGGGATACCGAGAATGCAATCAACGATGTAAAAAATTAAAATATAATAAATATATATTTAACAATAAGCATGCAACATATACAATAAATGTAAAGAATTTGGCAAATGTCATTAACTAGCAAAAAAAAAAAAAATTAAAGGATTTAATTCAAAATTAAACAAATGGTCGATCACATTCATAACACACAATTCAAGTAAAGAATTTGGCAAATGTCAATCAGTCATAAAAAAAAATTAAAGGATTTAATTCAAAACTATTGATAGTAAAAAACAAATATAGTAAAATTATACAAATGGTCGATCACATTCATAACACACAATTAAAGTAAAGAATTTGGCAAATGTCAATAAGTCATAAAAAAAAAATTCATCGAAGCTTTTAATTGAAAACTATTGACAGTAAAAAAATGAATATAGTAAAATTGTGCAAATAGTCGTTCACATACATAACACACAATTAAAGTAAAAAATTTATTAAAGCTTTTAATTGAAAACTATTGATAGTAGGAACGAAATAGTAAAATTATATAAATTATCGATCACATTCAAAACACATTAAAGTAGCTGGTCGTCATGGCTTTTTTGCGGATAATATTTGAAGAGCACCGGGGAAGAACGATCTAAGTCACTTTTCAACATACCCCAGTTAATGGTGCCATCTGGTAGCAAATTGTATAAGCTTTCTGTGGAACAGTCAATTTCAGGTAAAAACGATCGGAGTCACATTGAACCAAGGCCCTTCTGAAATGGCCTCCCGGACAAATACAAGTCCATCGTACCCTTTATTTGACCTTAATTTGGCTGAAAAATGGAAATCAGTTGTTATACTGGTAATTATGATTCGTATTAAACATCATTTTGAGGTGGTAATTAAACCCACTCGTTGTTCTGTTTCCGTCAAGCACTCTCGTCCAAAAGTCTGTTTTGCCTTTTATACGAAAAGACAAAAATGTGACTTAGATCATTCTTCCCCTGGGCTCTTCATTTCATTTTACAGGGCTTAAAGATACATTATCAGTCTTTGTTTTTTGTATTTCAGAGGAGAGTCAAAAGAAGCTCTCCTCAATCAACAAATTGAAAAAATCGCTCCCCTAAAAAAGTTCTTCCAATTTCGATAAGAAGAATGATTTAGAAATTAAGGAGAGTGATTTAGAAATTAAGGAGAGTGATTTAGAAATTAAGGAGAGTGATTTAGAAATTAAGGAGAATGATTAGTTGTGTATGAGAAATGGTTCTGAAGATCAATAACTGCATGTAATGGGGTCATTCCTGGTTTGATAAATGATAATAAACCCCCAATGACTTTGTAAAGGAGAGCGATTTTCAATTTTAAGGGGAGGGAAAAAACCTCCCCTCGGTCGACATTCAGGTGAACAGCATGCGCTCGAGAGCGATCTCTTGCCTTAAAAAAACAATGACTGCATTATGTAAGATTTAGAAAAAATGATGACAGTTCAAAAATAGATAGCTTAGAGAGTTGATTATGGTCTTGTCATGTTATAATAGTTCATAAACTCAGGACACTTAAAATTCCAGGAGTTTTCCAGGAGTTATTTACCAGATTCCAGGAGTCCCTGTATAGCATTCTACATCATAATGTATTTTTTCAGGATTAGCAAACATTTACGGCCATGAACTCGTGAACTTTTGAAGAAACATTCGATGATTACATTCAGTTTTATAATCTTAAAATATATAGAGAAACCACAAATGTTAATTTTCCGGGAGTTTCAAGGAGTAATGTTGTTTTACCAGGATTTTCCAGTACTGGAAATAACATTTTCATTTTTCCAGGATTTTCAAGGATTTTCAAGGAGTGTGCGAACCTTGATAAATAGATAACGTAAAATAATTATATTGAAAATTTCATTCAAATTTATATTCCTAGCAAAGTTATGAGTGTTAGAAGATGTAGCGTTGATTTTTATTATCCTAGCAAAGGTCCTGGACAAATGAGACTAAGGGTAATTGTTATTCGACTTGGCTTCACTTCTCCATTTTTAAATTAAGTCATTAAATGGCCAATATGTTCTAATCTACTTAGAATCGGAGCCATCTGATGGCCTGGAGAGTTGATTATGGGCTTGTCATGTTAATAGGGAGAGAGAGAGAGGTTGAGAGGGAGAGAGAGAGAGAGAAATGAAGTTTAATGTCCACACGACACAGACTAGGTCATTTCAGGACTAACATATGGTTTAATTTTATTTCAATAATTAGCTTGCAACTGGGGATTCGAAACCACGCCAGTTGACTCAATGACAGGTTTTATGATATAGCGCGCACATGCTAACCATTCGGCCATCCAACAGCCCAGGATGGGTCAGAGGTAGGAACAGTGTTAGAACCTGTAAGTGTAGGCCTATAGCACAAAAATGAGACAAAAAAAAAAACAAACCAAAAAAAACACATATTGTTACCCTAATCGCCATTGAGACAATAATTGGCCAGACTATGGCTAAAGTGTCACTCGGCAAACCTCAGCAGATTCCAGTACCCTTCTTCTAGCCTCGGCTGTATGACGAAATCCGCAATTGGAGCTACTTTCAAGTTCCCGGATTACCAACCACGTTGCCCATGACGACGCCATTGAAGAATGTTTTATCATACAAATTTTTCAAAGTCTGAAGCTGTTTTTCTTTCAAGTTTATCCGATTTTCTTCAAACAAGGACAACTTTGCACTAAAAAATCTACACTGACTTCGAACGATGCAATTTGGATAACTTCTTTTTAAAAACGGCAAGTTTTCCTAATAAGTAAACCGGTGCCGCATCGCAATTGTATAGGCTTAGGTACATATCACTTACGATCATACAGCCGTTTCTAGATGTAGAGTAACGGAATCTGCCGAGGTTTGCCGGGTGGCTAAAGTGTGAATTAAAAAGAGTTTGGCAAGTTACGTTTTAGCCTGACTCGCATCCTACCGTAGGGTTTGGTAGTTCGCAGACCAGCAGCAAGAAACCAGGCAAAAATTTTTCGCGATTTTGTACAGTGCCGAACACACTGCGGGTTGTAAGCTTGGCTTTAAATCACATTAATTTAAAACTATTCATAAATAAAAACTATAATATTAATAGTAAATAACATCTATCAAAAATAATTACGGTAATAGATAATATATCAAAGCTCTTAGATAAAGAGCTGGAAGTTCTCACTATAATAGTTGAAAACTAGCTAATGTAAAGGCAATTTTCTGAAAATTTCAGTCAAATTGATCCACTCTGAATTGAGATTTTAGCGATTGAATTTTGGGTCTAGCCTCGATCATAATTACTAAAGTTAGTACGATAAAAAACAGTCTTGATTATCCATTTTTTGATTTAATTATCAATGAGCGTTAAGCAGCAGATAGGATTCTAATCCAGAAAAAATCGCAGGCTAGCGATGCCATCGAGAGTTGATTATGGTCTGGATAAGTTAATTTATGTCTAACTAATAATCTATATAACATTTCAGGCCTAAAGAAAAACATGCAATTTTTCAGATTTAGTTCTTGCAAATGTATGTGTAAATAGGTATTCATGAAGAACAAAAATTCAGATTGGTCTGGCCTTAGGATTTCTCTTCCAGAAATTTTCTCATCAATTTATTGACTTTATCTGGCTGATCCATCTGAACCCAGTGAGAGGCTTCTTCAATATAACTAATAGATAGATCATTGGTGAACTCCCTACACCCTTCCGCTAAACCTCTCTCTAGCGCTGCATCTATACAACCCCATATAATCTGAGTGGGTATTTCAATCAGTCTCGTGTCTGGTGATTCGCTTCTAGAAGCTGCTCTATAGTAGTTAATGGAAGCAGTGGCAGCACCTAAAACAAAGAGAGAGATAGAGAAATGGGGTTTAATGTCCATTCGACACAAACTAGGTCATTTCGGGACTAACATATGGTTCAATTTTATTTCTATAATTCGCTTGCGCGTAGGGGTCTTTAGCAGTGGGAGAAAACCAGAGGACCAAGAGAAAACCCACGAGGTTGGACAGGCGACCCTACTCCTTGTCACGTACAACCGGGGATTCGAAACCACCGCCAGTTGACTCAATGACAGACCTTATGATACAGCACACACATGCTAACCATACGGCCATCCAACCCCCCTTCCTAAAACAAATGAAATGAAATGGTGTTTAACATCGTACTGTTCTGTTCCGACTGGGCTAATGAAGACGAGGATACGCCATGCAGAGTGCTATGGGGAAATTTTGCCCAGATAGTGGCGCTATGGCCTACTTTTGTGTCCAATTTCAACTGCCAAGGGATCTTTTACGTGCACGCCAATGTGTAATAAAAATAAAATTCTCAAAATCCTGCACTTGTCTTAAAAAAAAAATGAACAAGCCAACAGTGAGGCTGATGTCCCCCTCGACGAAATCCCAAAATAAATAGATGACACATATTAATTAATCACACATTTATTTTTTTCAAAAGTATTGAGCAATCAAACTATACACTAAGTTTCATCACTCTCTATCAGATAGAATCAAGATTATCTTGTCCCAAAGCATCGACCAATGAAATTGCTTAGCTCTGCTTAGCTTCAGCTCGAAATGTTAATCATTGAACTCAGTCAAGACATTCACCTAATGAACATCTACATCAAGTTTAAACATTCAAACGCAATTAAAAGCAGAGTTGTTATGTTCCAAAGACTGGGCTAATGAAAACGAGCATACGTCATGCAGTGTGCTATGAGGGGAAATTTTGCCCAGATAGTGGCACTACGGACTACTTTTGTGTCAAATTCCAACTGCAAAGAGATCTTTTACGTGCACGCCAATGTGTAAAAAAAATAAAATTCTCAAAATCCTACACTTGTCTTAAAAAAAATAATTAAAAAATGCTGTTTAGCTTATATTTGAAATAGTATTCGCAAACCATGTCACGTTCGATGTTGTTTTAAATTCTAACAATCCCGACAAACCATTCAACCTGACGAAGAGTGAGTCGTTTGTATCAACATAATGGTCCCGATCATGTGCTTAATCGTCAAATTGAGCACACGGTGGTGACACCAAATGACCTCATAATGATGGTTGCTAGGTAAAATTGTCAAAATTCTAAATTTGTTCCACGTTCATGATAAACATGTAAAGCAACAATGAAGTAGACATTCTTCATCTCAATAATAGAAATAAGATGAAATAGATTTAAAATTGACGCTGAACAAATAATGAAATTGGTTTATCTTAATATAGAAATTAGATGATAGCACGTTAGAATTTTTAATCTAATATACTGCCATATTTGGCTCCTTTTGAAGGTTTCCAAGGAAACACTTGAGTGCGATATAACATGAAATGGAGGAACCTTGAAATAGACAAAAATCATTCTAAAAGCACATATCGTCAGTGAAGTGTAAAAGGTTGCATCTAAGAATTTCTAAAGATTAAGAAATAGAACCTTTTGCATTTCAAAATTTCCACATATCAAGATACAACCTTTGGACACATGATACCCAGAACAGTTCTAATTGGCGTAGAGATACACAGCTTAGACAGAAATGTGCATATTAATTGGGAGATTTTAAAAACGTATTTGACTAATTTCCCAAGATACATCCTTTTGACACTTCACCCACGATATTAATGTAATTTGAATGTCTGTAAAGTAATTATAATTTCTAACCAATTATTTTTGGTGAAATACCTGAACAGTTCAAATTGAACGGCAGTCTTTTCCGCCTGCTTTAGTGCATTCTACACGTTTTTAAAAATTATTATCTTGTGGTTTGTGAATCAGCCTTTACTAATTACTTCCACATTGGGTTGTAGGACATGTTTTTATTTGTTAATTACAAAATGGCACCTGAAAGCATAGTATTAATAAATACCTGGTCTACTAAAAGCATATTTATAGGCTTCTACATCGTCCTTTGTCATAATTCCTGACTGAACCCCCATTCTCTTTCCTTTAAAAGCCATAACTATATTCTGATAATCATTCAAGCGGAAAGCCAATTCTGGTAACCATGGTAATTGAAAGAAATAGATATACCTAAAAAAATAATAATATAACAAGGAAAATTATATATTTCGAAATTCCCCTTAGTATTCTAACAGAGAGAGAGAGAGAGAGAGAGAGAGAGAGAGATGAGGTTTAACGTCCACTCGACACAAAATAGGTCGTTTCGGGACTAACATATGGTTTAATTTTATTTCAAAAGGGGTCTTTAGCAGTGGGAGAAAACCGGAGGACTGAGAGAAAACCCACGAGGTTGGACAGAATTTCACATTGGAAATACATCATCTTTGTCAAACAATATAGTTAATATTATTTGCACTCATTTGTTGGATCCTTTCGGGGAAGGGAGAGAGAGAGAGAGAGAGAGAGAGAGAAATGGGGTTTAACGTCCACTCAACACAAACCAGGTCATTTCGGAACTAACATATAGTACAATTTTATGTTGGATTACGCAGAGTGTCGGATTAGTCAGTTTTCTCAAAACCGGAAGTATTATTAGGCGAATGTTTTTATTTCATTTAGCATGCATAGGCATTTTGAATAGGTCAAATCTGTCGTTAATTTATCTTCTTCATCGTCTCCGTCTTCAGTTGATTGCACACTTGTCTTTGCTATCACGTGTTCATTGATAATCTTTCGTTATATGTCCAGGTCATCGTCACAGTCTGTCGGAATTCCATTGTCAAAATTGATAAAATCGTCTCCGGACACCAAGGACTCCATGAGTCTAGCAAGTGGTATATTGTCCCCTTCGTCGTCAGGAGGTACACATTGACCCCTCATTTGACGGTTGAGTTGTTCGAGCCAATCAGAACAAATATTACTTGTCATCCAAGCCTTACGATTGGCCGACCAATTGACTGGCAGGTTGTTCTTGTCCACGCCTTTAAAACATCAAGGATTCTCCGTTTTACCAATTATAAAATTATCAAAGTAATCAACAAAGACCTACGCGAGTAAGTTTTAATCTTACTGATAATTGATTGGTAATTGCTTGTTAATATATTGTGGCTTCACACCCAGCGATTAAAGGCCGGATTGATACTGTAATTCGGAATATTCAGAATACGGATTACTCAAAGCTTTTTTGGCTGAAGTAATAAGGAAATAAATCGGGACATGAAAATGATGACGGATTTCACAGAATGCAATAGTCTTCACATGTCGGAAGTGACCACGTCCACTATATATTTTAAGACCAATCATACGCATGTGGGCTGCTACGAATGCGACAGAGAAATAGTAAATATTAAAAAGATAGGTTGCCAGACAACGAAACATACGCCCACAGCAGCTAAATCATCCGGGCAGTCAAACTCACGTGTGCTGCTATGAATGCGACAGAAATAGTAAATATTAAAAGATAGGTTGCCAGACAACGAAACATACGCCCACAGCAGCTAAATCAGCCGGGCAGTCAAACTCATGTGGGCTGCTACGAATGCGACAGAGACATAGTAAATATTAAATAGTAAATATTAAAAAAACCAACCAGGATTTAAGGAATTGTGATGGGTGGCTCATGACATAAGTAAAGAAAGATCCAGGATGCGGACAGTTCATAACAATGAGTCTATCAACCAGATTCTGATGTCGTGAAGCAAATGCCCAACAAACAGCTCCTCCCCAATCATGGCCGACCAATACACAGGATTTATAACCTAAAGTAAATACATGTACATAAATACAATCTGATTACAATACAGATCTATATTTCGTTTCATTTTTTTATACTTGCGATGGCCTACACTACATGAAGATCTGACCAGTTGTAGCGATATGACGCGTCAGAGGTCATACAAGCGGCTTTTGACCCTATGACGTCAAACATTTGATTAACCCATCAGCATTGATGTTACTAGTGGATTACCCACAGTTCCGTGCAAATCACGCCTAAAGCTTGCCGTAACAGATCGTTTCATTGGCTTTTCCCTCACATCATTCAGAACACGTCAATGATAACAACTCTTCCAGATCCTAGTGTAGTAAAGACAAGTAAAACGAAATTTTGAACTATAAAAAACGAAACGAAATAGGATCTGTGTTTTAGTCAGATGTACATAAAAATAAAAACATAAAAAAAGTTCCTCCAGATTTTCCAGCGTGGTTCCCCCTTGTCAGTGATGCAGGACGGAGGGTATGACAAGGACAGTTGTCTAGTCATTCGGACGGGAAGAAAAACCGAGGTCCCGTGTACACATTGGCATGCACGTAAAAGACCGATGGCAGTTGGAATTTGATATAAGAGTAGGCCGTAGTGCCGCTGTCCGGGCAAATTTTTCTCATAGCCCACTGTATGGCATATGCCTGTCTTCATTAGCTCAGTTTGGAGCAGAACAGTAGGACGTTAAACTCCATTTCTCTTTATTTCATTACTGCTGGCCTTTGGATCCATTTATTTAATTTGATATAAAAGGTTGTTTTTGTTTATTGCTTGCTATTCCTGTGTATATCATGTCTGCAGATTTGTTTATTATGTGTATTGCGGTCCCACTGCTCTTACTATTATAGGTTACAAGTTGATAAATCTTGCAGCCAATGGTATTCACCTTACCTAAAGCAGGAATAAGTTGTTTTAAATCATCCACCATCATCGACATATCATAATTACTAATACCACTAGGTTTATCTGAATCATTATAACCTCTCTGATCTATAGCTACACAACTGTAATATATAAAATATAATTGTAAAGTTACCAATGAGGATATGATTGTAAAGTTGCCAATGAATGTATGATTGTAAAGTTACCAATGAGGATCTGATTGTAAAGTTGCCAATGCGGATATTCTTTATTAAATTCCAAACTGTCAATGGTTATTTTATGTGCAGGACATGTCAACAACATGTAGGCTAACATAGGACCCCGATTTTTGTTCTAACTAGACCCTGTTCCTTGCCAGGCCATCTCTCCTACACACAGACAAAGGTAAACAATGCTGCTTAAGTCCTGAGGAACTTTCTCTGTCAACACCAGAATAAAATCATGTTAGTGATCCAGTGCCTTTCTCAAAGAGCCACCCTGGATTCTAACAGTCTGAAAATATCAGGACTTAAAAAGACAGAAAGAGGGAGGGAGAAATGGAGTTTAACGTCATCACGACACAAACCCAGGGCTTTTCGTGTCTAACATATTGTGCAATTTTATTTCATTAATTTGCTTACGCGTAGGGATCTATACCAGTGGGAGATAACCAGAGGCCCCGGAGAAAACCAAAACAAGAGGTGGGACAGGCGAACAAACACCTTGTCATGTACAAACAGAGAATAGAAACCACGTGCGTCACTTGATTCTAGGACAGACCTTATGATCCAACGCGCATATGTTAACCATTTGGCCACCCAAAACCCTAGAACTTATAAAACTAATTTAATTACCGATAATCTTTTGCAAATTCCCTTAACTGATATCTCCAGGAATACCAAAATTCAGGAAATCCATGCACAAACAACATAAGGGGTTTCCCTTCTACTCCATTTGCCACATAGTGCAGACGTACTTTCTGTAAAGAAAAATACGAAATAAAGAGAAAATGAAATGGATTTTAATATCCTCCAGGTTATTGAGCCAACATCTACTCACTGATCCACCGATGGGTTCCCTGAAATAAAGAGAAATGGATTATGCTTTGTCCCAATTACATGTAGGCCTACTCAGTAAAAATGTACAAATCATATATTCTATACAGTGTGCTTTGAGGGGAGTTTTGCCCAGACTGTTTCCCTATTGCCTATTTTAATTTCAAATTCAAATTGCCAAGGCTTTTTTATGTACCACCCAAAAGACTAGACACCTTTCCTTGTCAGGCCCTCCATCCTGCACCAATGTGATAAGAAGGGGATCTGAACCCTGTCTGTCCAAAGTAGAAAAAACAATGAAGTACCCTGCAGTAGTAATTAGTAGGAAGGGATTTTAATTTAATTCAATTTAATGTAGTTAAGAGAATAAGATTCCAGAACTGTCACTCGCACCCCGCATAGTCTTTAGGAATAGAAGTTATGCGCCGATGATATATCAATATAGGCCTATTTAGGCTATTGCCCACTGGGTCAAAGTCCTTCACACTTGCCTCCAAGTGTATATAGCCGTGTGTGCCAAGGCTCGAATCACCTAAACAAGCTGGTGGTTCCGTTCTGTCTTTAACATAGAAGGCCCTCTTGGGTTGTCGAACAATAGACCACAGTGCACGAAGCATGACAAGACTTCCGAAGAAGCATCCAAAGGCAAACGTTACGGCAGTTTGGATAAGTGCTTTCACTGCCATTTTGGGATTTAGGTCAGTGGGTTGTTACGTATTCTGGATTATTTTATACGAAATACAAATTCATATAATTTTATGACTTTACAACGTCCTTATCAAATATTGAAAATTGATTTTTAAGAATATAATTTAAATTTATTATTTAATACAAAATACCGGCAATCCAATTACTTATATTTTCTATTTAGTTGTTTTCTTTTCGTCCGCTTCTATGGTTTCAAATTTTATTATGTAAGAAAGATTCGCAGAAGAAATTATACTTTCTTTGAAAAAAATAATATTTTATTTTCATGTCATAATGTTGGATTATTGTGTATTATTGAGCTCATTTCCAGTAAAATTAGTCCTAAATAATTTAAATGGATAAATTTTGACCAATGGCCTTCAACAGACATCGTAGCGGGAAGAAATAAATATTGTAGACTCGGTTGACAGGAACAAAATAATTGAACAGGGAAATTATTGAAAGCACTGGTTAACCGTGTTGTACTAAAATGGCGTCAACATCAAATGATAGTTCTTGGTACAGTTCACTTATTGGTTTAGCGGAATATTTCAGGACTTCTAACCCTCCTAATATTCGCCTTTGCATTCACTGTTTACAGGCGATTCTTGGTTTTCAACCTTCGCCCGAAATTGAGGCCCGTACGCACCTGCAATTGGGGAATATATTGTTGGCACACACAAAAAACATTGACACATCTCAGACTCATTTGGAAAAGGCGGTAGGTTTATGTATTCTTTGTTGCTTTAACCTCTTATTACAACAACACAATTTTATAATAATGATAAATTGTAATGTTCATTGCTAATATATAAATCGCCATTTATTTTCATAATACATTTGTTTAATAATGAAAAAAATCTTTCTTTTCAGTGGTCCATATCTTCAGGAGTATCCTTTTTGTAAATAACGTTTATTGAATTCGCAAACACAGAAGTGAATTGATAATTTGCAATATCATAGCTATTTTTAGATGTTTATAGTTTGGTTATATATTCCCTAAATTGACGGAAATGATATATTTATTGTCAAACACAGACTCGTTGAGATGAAATAGAAATGATTTTATAATTCAAAATATGGATAGCACCTACACAAAATGGCTGTTCATCGTGTTTTCTATAATTGACAGTATATATTTTGGACAGACAAAGAACATTTTCCCTATAATTGTTGACTTCAGATAACCAAATATTTGTCTTTCACGTTGAAATGTTTCAGGAAAGGTTAATATAAGAATATTCTTGTCTTTTAGAACAAAAATATTGAAATGATATGTATGCTTGTTACCTCCCTTTAACCAGTAGGTCAAACAAAACAAAGCCATGTGAAATAAAAGTCGAGGATGGTTGAACAAGTTAACAGTCGTCATTGTTTTTATTTTAGAGTAGGAGAGACGAAAAAAGCTCCCCTTAACCAACAAATTGAAAAAATCCCTCCCCTAAAATAGTTCTCCCAGTTTCGATAAGAAGAGTGATAAGGAAATTAAGGAGAATATTAGTTGTGTGTATGGGAAATGGCTCTGAAGATCAAAAACTGCATGTTAGGGGGCATTAAATGATAATAAGCCCCCATGACTTTGTAAAGGAGAGCAATTTTCAATTTTAAGGAGAGGGAAAAAAAAACTCCCCTCGCTAGCCTTAAATAACAATGACTGAGTTAAGCCTTCAAGGTGAATGAGGCAAATTGAATTTTTATTAATTGTAACTAGATTTAACACAAGTGTTAAGTTAATGTCAAATCTAACACTAATATTAATGACAACTAGATTAACCCTAGTGTAATGAAAAATAGCATTAAATTCTGTGGATTATGCCTATAGAACACATTACCACATGTACTCTCAAACACATGAAATCCGACAACACCTTACGAGCCGAGCTACCGAGCTAATTAAATATTTAAATGAAAATTAATTCTATCTTATTCGATTAACGTTATGTTTATACAGTCTATAAAGTTTGTTATTAATCATGCACGTATCACCATAAATCTTCTATAAAGTGGTTTTGCCTCTTTTATGGACCAAAAATGTTCATATGTGTAATGCATATCTTTTCAACTTGTTTTTCTTTATATTTTTAATGAATCAATTTCTATCTCTTTTCTATCTTATTAATGTATATATATGTTCTTATTGTTTAAAGGGCAAAATGCAAGAAAGGCCGTTGACCTAATTTTTAACCCTTTTGAAATAAAGTATTTATTATTATTTAGCCCTTAACCTATATCAGACATATCTTGATGATGTCAGGTTTGAGACTGCTAGCGTTTTATCCCAGTTATATGAAAAACAGGTAAAATGATATTTGTATATTTAATTTTGCATAATTTGATACTCTGATTTTACCAAATCTGTCAGGATTCTTTTAAACATAGATATTAAAGGGCATTAGGAAAGATTCGATAAAGAGCTGACAGTTATCGCTATAATAATACGAATAAATAAAAAATAGATAATGTACAGTGGACTCTGTCAATTCCGACACCGTAGGGCAGTGATTCTCAACCATGCGGCACACCTGTGTGCCGCGAGATCTTCCTAAGTGTGCCGCAGAATTTTGAACGGCATACTAAGAACATGCGAAAAACCACATGATGCCAATTGAGTATTCACTGGTGTCTACTGAAAAACTGTGTTTTTCTTTATTTAGTTTGAGTCATTCTATGTGTCTATGAATAGTCTCTGTCTGCGGCTGTATGACGTCTGACTTACAATGTTTTTATTTTGCAAAATTCAAATATTTTTCATATGTATTTAGCCAGGTGTGTCGCTATGTTTTCATGTGTTCTAAGGTGTGCCGTTGGCAAAAAAAGGTTGAGAACCACTGCCGTGGGGGATCGATACAATATGCCGGATTATATAGCATGTCAGAATACTCAATTGCCGCAATGCCGGAAGTATTACATGTATGCCGGAAGTCCGAGATGTAGAGTACCAGAATCTGCAGAGGTTTGCTGAGTGTGTATTTGACGTTAGAAACTCAAATCAAATGCCAAGCGCTCTCTTTTTACAAGAGATTTTCAAATTATAGAAGTAATCAACAAAGACTGGCACATGCTTTATGCTCACAGATAATTGATTGGTGATTGCTTGTCGGTTAACACCCACTGATTGAAGGCTGGATTATCCAATGTTACTTCAACGCAAATCGTGTGACAGGACCAATGATTGAAGGCCGGATTATCCAATGTTAATTCAACGCATATCGTGTGACAGGACCGCTGATTGAAGGCCGGATTATCCAATGTTACTTCAACGCAAATCGTGTGACAGGACCAATGATTGAAGGCCGGATTATCCAATGTTAATTCAACGCATATCGTGTGACAGGACCGCTGATTGATGTCATGATTTGGTTAAAGTAATAAGGAAGTAAATTAGCAGGACATGAAAATGACAATCAAGACTACACTGTTCTGTAAACAACGATAACTCCGCTCAGAATGAAGTACAGTCCCTCACGTTTAAAGGGAGCTAAATCGCTAACATTTGGGACCTAGAAATTGAAATTGACTGGTTATTCCAGTCTACATACGCCGTTTGGTTTGGTGCAATATGTCTAACCCCGTTCCTCGAGTCTCTTGCTAGAACTGGGGCCGAAACGCATTATGGTACACGATTCATGTACCAATAGTAAAATGTTTATTTTGTCTTAAATATTGGATATCAGAAGCCCATCTTTTTCCGGTAAGATCACAGCATCAATGTTGATTTAAATTGACAAATAATTTGTGTTTTCAATGGTGAAGATTTTGGATGATATTGAGTTAGAGACTTAGCTACTTTAAGGGGAGATTTCGCTGCTAAATCGCTCTCCTAAATATTGAGATTAATAAACTACTTTCATTTTTTGTTTACTGATGACAGATTTCACAGAATGCCGTAGTATTCTGATTTCGGAAGTGACAGAGTCCACTGCTGAATATTTTAGTCAAATTACTTCACTCTGAGCCGAGAAATACCCATTTTGTGGTATTTTTAATTTTTTTAAAACAAATATCAAAAATGTCCAACCTCGTATGTTTTTTCCGGATCTTCCAGTTTTCTCTCACTGCTAAAGACCCCTATGCGCAAGCGAATTATTGAAATAAATTTGTAGCATATATTAGTCCCAAAATGACCTACATGTAGTTCGTTAGTTTGTGCCGAATGGACATTAATTTTCGACGGATTTAAATACAATTGGCAGTTAATGATGTACATGTAATTTAAAAATGGATAATCAAGGCTTTGTTTATTATCATAACAATGATAACAATGACAATCAAGACTACACTCCGCTCAGAATGAAGTACAGCCCTTCATGTTTAAGGGGAGCTTTCGCTCCTGCTCCTCTCGACGCACGTCGGCTTCCCTTCGAAGGAGTCATTAAAGACTCCTGCAAATTAGTTAAATCGCTCTCCTAAATATTGAGATTAATAAACTACTTTCAGTTTTTGTTTACTTTTAAACTGCATATATTCAAGGTATCAGGAGCTTTTTATGGCTCCTGCACAATTTTATAAACATGAAGGACTGGAAGTATGTATATATGTCTTTTCGGTAGGAGGAACTTGTGGAAGATTAGGTTTGTTTTCCAAACTAAATAAGTTGCCTCATTAAATAAAGTTTTTATTATTATTATAATTTGACTAAAACTTTCAGCATATTCTGTTTTCATTATCTATTGTTTAACTATTATAGCGAGAACAGTCAGCTCTTTATCTAAATCTTACATACAGCATCTTTAAAGCAGAAAAGTGTGACCTCAAACCCATTTCATTTCCATTATGATCTATGTTTCAGAACCAAACAAGCAAGGCAAAACCACTGCTACTTCGAGCCATTGAATTATCTAAACAAGCGCCATATTGGCACTGTCGATTATTATTTCAGCTGGCAGTAAGTATTTGATTTTGAGAATTTGGTTGGAGTTTTTAATTACAATATTTTAAGATACAATCCTGCGTACAAACTGGGGGATTTGATGATGTATTTGGACTAAAAACATATTCAAGCTAATTAATCTATCAAAGCTCTGCTTCAAATCCTTCTCAAAACATTGTATTCGCCAGGGAATACCCCTGCAAACATTTAATGCACCATATCGATGCAGAATTGTTCAAAGAAGAAGCATGCCATTTTTTTATGTCAATCGGGCTTGAATTTGCAGAGCTTTGGGCTTTTTCGAAGAGCGTCACCCCAAGAAGAAGATGGGTAGCGGTTAGCGACCAGTTCCTGGTCCCCAAAAAAATTGAATTCTATTGATTGTAAAGGATTGTCTATCTTTTACAGCAAATCCATGCCCAAGAACGAGATTTCCCATCAGCATGTAATTTATTGTCTCTGGGGACAGATTTTGCCACCGTTTCCCGATCAGAATATACAAGATTACTATTTGTCCTTAGTAAAGCTATGGTAAGTCTAGCTAACCCACCTTCACCCCATCCCCAAAGGTAAGTATTTGCCTAACAGTGGAACAAAAAACTTTTTTTGTTCATTCTAAAAGTAAAACTTGAGTTCATTCTAAAAGTAAAACTTGAGTTCATTCTAAAAGTAAAACTTTAGTTCATTCTAAAAGTAAAACTTGAGTTCATTCTAAAAGTAAAACTTTTTTGTTCATTCTAAAAGTAGGTTCATTCTAACCTACCTTCAACCCACTCCCAAATATCGTGATATAAAGCAGTTTTACTTCTTCGACATCGAAAGGACTAAAAATATCAATTATTCATTTATCCTGTGGTTTACTTGGTAAATATTGACCTGGTTAAGAATCGGAAATATGTATCATATCATAGCACCTAGCAATACCCAGCACTACAACATATAGTATAAACAATGTCTTAGAACTAATGTTGGGTCCCCTTTAATATTGGGGCCCGGGGCTGCGGCCAGTCAGCCTTCCCCTTTATCCGGCCTGTAAACCTTTTTCAAAATGAGCGAAATGTTGTCTTGACACCAGTTTGATTCCATTTGTAACCTTTCCAACCAAAATATGTAATATGATTCATAATCATGCTTGGATGTTGGATGGTTGAGTGGTTTTCTCTGGGTCCTCCAGTTTCCTCCCACTGCTTAAGACCCCTACAAGCAAGCAAATTATTGAAATAAAATGGAACCATATGTCAGTCCAGAATTGACCTAGTTTGTTAAACTCTCTCTCTCTCTCTCCCTCTCTCTCTCTCTCTCTCCATAATCATGATTGATTTATTTTCTGTTGTAGATTTTGTTGATGGATAAACAGATGAGCGAGGTGCATAAAGTTTTAGTAGAAGCCAGTCAATTGATAGAAAATTATCATGGTTCACATGTTCATAAAGAGTCTTTACGCGTGTTTTTTCTTGTTTTACAAGTCTATCATTTTCTAACCGCTGGTCAGGTACGTATCATGTTAGTCAAATATCATACTCCTCGCAGTGTTTCGTTGGATTAGAGCTAATACCACTACTCACTGCTGTAAAGAAAGCAAATTCTTGTTCCAAATTATGACTGGTTAATAGTCCGAATAACAACCAATAGCTAACTGCGTAACAATATCATTACGCTTTAAACAGAGCTCCAAATTGGACCAAATATGTTTACATAACGTTTACGTCATGACTCAAGATTTTATTATGCCCAATTAACCAGTGCCTAGCAGAATATTGTAGAAAAACTAATTGTGTGACAAACGAGGCTATAAACACAAATATAATGTAAACAATACTGTTTGGGGATAGATTTGATTGAATGGGAAGAATAGTCACACTCCCTCAAAAGCGCAAGTATCAGAAGCTAATCCAGCAATGGCCAGAGAGGGATGTCTCGGGCCATTGCTTCAGGAATATGGTCAAATATAGGGGTTTGGATGGCCGAATGGTTAGCACGTGCGCACTATATCATAATAGCATCCGGGGGGGGGGGGGAGGGGGGGTGCATGGTTGAATGGTTAGCACGTGCAGTGCACACTATATAATGTTAGTCATTTATGGTGGGATTGGATGGACGAAGGGTAAGCACATGCATGCTATATCATAATAGCATCTGGGGTTTGGATGGCCGAATGGTTAGCACATGCGCGCTATATCATACGATAATATCTCAAAATAATGCTAATAATGCGAGGTATGATTTTTTTCCGTTTTTTTAACGGATTTCCGCTATTACAGTCGTTCACATGTCGTTCTCGTGATTTGTCTGAATTTGCAATAAAAAAATGATGGGGGGGATGGGCGGGGGTAATACATGTCGACTAAGTCTTGAGAGGGAAATGAGTTTAAAGTTCATTAAAAACTCAGGCCTTCACTTCAAACCCGTTGTTAAAAGTAAACACAGTTTGCTTCATTATCAAGTCTCTTGTCCATTATTACTGTATAATTAAACAATCAGACCTACACGATTGAGACTACAATAATTATTGTCCAATGAGAAATTCCAAGAAATTGTAATCTGCGGGGAAATTGTCCTGTAGAGTTGTTTCGTATCTAGCCAGTTCTGTGTCAGTCGATTCGTAGTGTTAATAATAATAATAATAATCATGTCATGCTTGTTAGGAACGGGATATTGACATTTTCTCGGCTGTGAAATAAAATGGCGGCAAAACATAATATAATTCATCGATAAGAGCACTGACAACGGAGAGAATTCATGGAAATGGAGTTAGTTAGAGAGGGAAGTGGGCAGGAAACCAGTGGGCCTTTTCATTAAGAGATTACATTAACCAGAAAAAGGCTACGGCAATGTATGTTTTAGGAAAGTAACTACGGAAGTCGGGGGTGGAAGGTTTTTCTTGTTTTGTTGCTTTTTTTTATGACTTCACTGGCATTTGATGTACCACTTGAGTTTACTGTGACTCCAAATTTGACCAAAAGGTGGCCCCAGAATGCACCATTGCAAGTTAAATTGTACAAAAATTTTCGGACCCCTGGACTGATATTTAAAAATGTATTTACAATATAACAATGAGTTTGGTTGTTGTTTATTTGTTTACAATATAACAATGAGTTTGTTGTTTATTTGTTTACAATATAACAATGAGTTTGTTTGTTGTTTATTTCAGGTTAAAACAGTAAAACCCTTTTTAAAACAGTTACAACAGAGTATACAAACAATTACACAAATACAACCAGAAGATGGTAAGATACATTACTTATATCCTATTATACGTGGGGGGGCCACAGTGGCTAAGTGGGTAAGAACCTGGCTGGCTGCATTGGCCGAAAAAGTTCATCAGGATTTTCCAACATACTTTACCCTTGTCAGTGGTGCAGGACGGAGGGTCTGACAAGGACAGCTGTCTAGTCGTTCGGATGGCACGAAAAACTGAGGTCCCGTGTCCACATTGAACAGAACAGTAGAACGTTAAACCCCATTTCATTTCTTTTTGTTTTACGCAGGTCCGTGGCTGAATAGTCTTAACACATCCACTTTAGATCATATGGTCTGTTATTGAGTCAAATGGCGTGGTTTCAATTCTACACTTGTACGTGACAAAGAGTAGGGTCGCCTGTCCAACTTTTTTGATTTTCTTCCACTGCTAAAGACCCATACGTACAAGCCAATTATTGAATTACAATTGAACCATGTGCTAGTCCTGAAATGACCTAGTTTCTTATATCTCATCAAAGTCTTAAAGTCACTGACACGCTACTCAATTTATGGTATAAAGTTCACTTTGCTGAAGCATTACTCAATTTATATTAATGTTTGTTTCACAGAGCCTGTATCAAATAATCCGGTTGATTTATTTCAATGGTTACCTAAAGAACATATGTGTGTATTAGTGTATCTTGTGAGTATATATATAATATATGTGTGTATTAGTGTATCTTGTGAGTATATATATAATATATGTGTGTATTAGTGTATCTTGTGAGTATATATATAATATATGTGTGTATTAGTGTATCTTGTGGGTATATATATAACGTGTGTGTATTAGTGTATCTTGTGAGTGTATATATAACATGTGTGTATGTAGTGAGTATTTATATCTATAACATTTGAACATGTGTGTGTATGTGTATCTAGTGAGTATATATATATATATATATAACGTGTGTATCTTGTGAGTATATATATAACGTGTGTATCTAGTGAGTGTATATATAACATGTGTGTATCAGTGTATGTAGTGAGTATATATATAACGTGTGTATCTTGTGAGTATATATATATAACATGTGTATCTAGTGAGTGTATATATAACATGTGTGTATCAGTGTATGTAGTGAGTATATATATAACGTGTATATCTTGTGAGTATATATATATATATAACATGTGTATCTAGTGAGTGTATATATAACATGTGTGTATCAGTGTATGTAGTGAGTATATATATAACGTGTATATCTTGTGAGTATATATATATATAACATGTGTATCTAGTGAGTATATATTAAGGTGTTTATTGGTGTATCTTGTGAGTATATATATATATATATATATATATATATATATATATATATATATATATATATATATATATATATAAATATATATATATAACATATATAGTATATCAATTGTTCTATCAGTGGATTTTTACATTTAACAATGTTATCGAGGGACAAACAAGAGTTGTAATATGATAGTGTTTTATATGACAAAGAATCTGAATTAATTTCTATATTATTATGCATTTGTAGCAATTAGTGTAAGTTAATGATGTGAAATGAAGTAGATTAAATGGGTATATTATATTTATTTTACAGGTTACTGTGATGCACTCAATGCAAGCAGGTTATATGGATAAAGCACAGAAATACACAGATAAAGCTTTAATGCAGATTGAAAAATTGAAAAGTACGTAAACTTTAATAACTTTGTCTTTATTAAGAATCTAAGCTTCAATTAGATTTATTTGTTGATGAATTAGAATCTTTACCTACTCTGGTTCACTAAACAGGATTTGTCAGAGTGGTATCCCCCTTGTCAGTAGGGCAGCACTGACGGAATCTTTCTGCACTTGTAAGATTTATCACTATTCGACTGCATTGAACTTAAACTCTCTTTGTTAGTGAGGAGCCACGGGGTATCAGTGAGTAAGATGCTGGCTCCCTAACCTGGAGGTCCGGGAATCAAATTTTTTTTTTCGGTGTGGTCCTCCTTGTCAGTGGTGCACAGGACATAGAGCATGACAGCGGACAATGTATAGTCATTCGGATGGGACGGAAAACCGAGGTCCCATAAATACTTGGCATGCACATGAAAGAACCCTTGGAATTCAAAATAAAATTAGGCTGTAGTGCTCCACTGTCTGGTCAAATCTTCCCCTGTAGCACACTGTATTCATTAGCCTGAATGGCACAGAAAATTAGGCCGTTCAATCTTGTTGTATTGTTAAGATTTAAATTGAACTCTTTTATTATTTATTATTACATATTTCTATAGCAGGCAACTGCCACATACATGTTCTCATCTAGGCTTTACATGACATATTAACAAGCAATATTGATGTTTTATGTTGAAGGGTTGTTTCGTGACAAAGATTAGGGTCGCCTGTCGAACCTCGTGGGTTTTCTCTGTGTCCTCTGGTTTCCTCCCACTGCTAAAGACCTCTACACGCAATCAAAATAAAATTAAACCATATGTTAGTCCTGAAATGACCTCCTCTCTCTCACTCTCTCTCTCTCTCTCTCTCTCTCTCTCATATTGAAGGGTTAGTAACCAGAATATTATTTGTTATTTCAGTGTTGGATAATCATCCCCTTCTCTCCTCCTTCCAACTAATGTTAATAGAGCATATCGTCATGTGTCGATTGATCATGGGGAATAAATCCTCCGCTATCCAGGAGATATTTCAAGCCTGTCACGTCTGCCAACAACAACCAAGATTATTTACCACACACGGAGCACAAATACACACATTACTGGTGAGTATAGAATTACCAAACAGATGCTTTGAATCCAATTTAGTCACATTGATTTCGAACGTTCTCTCTAAAAAGTCTAAACAATCTGTGACGTCATTTTAGTCCTTCGGCTCATATTCTAGTCTATATGTCAGGGCCCTTATTCACGAAAACTTAAACTAAGATACAATCGAAATTTTAAGAAATACTGCAATTCGATTGGCTGCAGTATTTCTTAAAATTTCGATTGTATCTTAGTTTAAATTTTCATGAATAAGGGCCTAAGGCTTGTGTATTGGCGGAAAGTTACAACCACGTAATAGATACCTTGGCAGTTGGAATCCAATGTAAGAGTAGGCCATAGCATCGCTGCCCGGGCAAAATTTCCCTCATAGCACACCGTATTGTAGCACCTGAATCGCAATATCTATCTTATCATGACTGCAGGGGCAAAACCCAGCACTACTTTCAACTATGATTGCCATATTTTATTGCTTACAGGGTCTACATTTGTTTGGTGGGTTTGGATGTTCGAATGGTTAGCATGTGCGTGCTGTATCATAATGTCTATCATTAAGTCAGCTGGTGTGGTTCTGATTCCCCGGTTGTACATGACAAGGAGCAGGGTCACCTGTCCAACCTCGTGGGTTTTCTGCGGGTCTTCCAGTTTCCTCCCACTGTTAAAGACCCCTACGCACAAGCGAATTATTGAAATAAAATTAAACCATATGTTAGTCCCGAAATGACCTAGTTTGTGTCGAGTGGACGTTAAACCCCATTTCTCGCTCTCTTGTTTACTGTGATTATATGCTTTTTATTTATTACAGGGTTTATATGCTATGTCTATGAATTGTATGGAATCTGCTGAATTACAGTTTAAAACAGCTTGTAAGGTAAAACTTCATGCAACTTTTTTTATAACCAAATCAATTCATTGAACTATTTACTATATATTTGTGCCTACACAGCTGCCCTTGTTATGTGGAAACACATTTAGGATAATATATATTAGTATTTTTCCATTGTTTCAGTTATCCACGTCTAATGAAGTTCGATTGTTTGTAAATTTAAACCTTGCTATAGTATATTTACGGACCAATAGACAAAGCGAATTAGTAGGTTTGATGGAAGCTATAAATCCAGAGACAGTTCCACAACAGTAAGTAAAATAACTTGTACATTTCAATTGTATCATAACGTCTGTCATTGATTCAACTGGCATGGTTTCGATTCCCTGGTTGTACGTGATAAGGAGTAGGGTTGCCTGTCCAACCTCGTGGGTTTTCTCTGGGTCCTCCAGAATTATTGAAATAAAATTGAACCATATGTTAGTCCCATAATGACCTAGTTTGTGTTGAGGGGAGTTCAACCTCGTAGGTTTTCTCTAGTTTCCTCCCACTACTAAAGACCCCTACGCACAAGCGAATAATTGAAATAAAATTGAACCATGTTAGTCCTGAAATGACCTAGTTTGTGTCAAGTGGATGTTAATCCCCATTTCTCTCTCTCTCTCTCTTTCAATCCCAAGATTGAGCTAAATCTGTCTATTGCAGGTCTTTCTTTAGGCCTGAAATGTTATCTAAATTATTAATTAGACATTAATGAATTTATCCAGACCATAATCAACTCTCGATGTCATCGCTAGCCTGTGATATTTAGTGGATTTGAATACATTTTGTGATGAATAATTTATTGTGAAAATGGATAATCAAGACTTTGTTTATTATCGTAACAGCGTTTATAATGATGATTGCTAATATCTCGGTCTCGGTTCATAGTGAAATAAATTTGTTGGAAATTTTTAGCACATTCTGTTTTCATTATCAATTTTTTAACTATCAGCTCTCTATCTAAGCCTGTACAATCTCATGGGTTTTCTCTGGGTCCTCTGGTTTCCTCCCACTGCTAAAGACCCCTGTGCGCAAGCGAATTATTGAAATAAAATTAAACCATATGTTAGTCCTGAAATTACCTAGTTTGTGTTGAGTGGACTTAAACCCCATTTCTCTCTCTCTCTCTCTCTCTCTCTCTCTCTCTCTCTCTCTTCTCTCTCACTCTCTCTCCCTCTCTCTCTCTCTATATATATATATCTCTCTCTCTCTATCTCTCTCTCTATCTCTATATATATCTCTCTCTCTCTATCTCTCTCTCTCTATATATATCTCTCTCTCTATATATCTCTCTCTATCTCTCTCTCTATATATATCTCTCTCTCTCTATCTCTCTCTCTATATATCTCTCTCTATCTCTCTCTCTATATATATCTCTCTCTCTCTATCTCTCTCTCTATCTCTATATATATCTCTCTCTCTCTATCTCTCTCTCTATCTCTATATATATCTCTCTCTCTCTATCTCTATATATATATATCTCTCTCTCTCTATCTCTCTCTCTATCTCTATATATATCTCTCTCTCTCTATCTCTCTCTCTATCTCTATATATATCTCTCTCTCTATCTCTCTCTCTCTCTATCTCTATATATATCTCTCTCTCTATCTCTATATATATCTCTCTCTCTATATATCTCTCTCTATCTCTCTCTCTATATATATCTCTCTCTCTATATCTCTCTCTCTATATATCTCTCTCTATCTCTATATATATCTCTATCTCTCTATCTCTCTCTCTATATATATATATATCTCTCTCTCTATATATCTCTCTCTATCTCTCTCTCTATATCCCCCCTGGGGTGTAGGGGGTGATAAGAATATACCCTTCGTATGTCCTGCGTGTCGTAAAAGGCGACTAAAAGGATCCCTGTAATGGGGCAACGTGTTTGCCGTGCGTTGCGACCCGTGTCGGTGGAGAGTGGAATCCTGGTAATTGAGTGGGGATTTGGCTTGCGAGCCCTTTCTCTGCAACACATTACTTTGGCCCATGGTTCACCTAGACGGGAGGTCAGAGTGGCCCACTCTGATCAATCGGCTTTGGTCGTTTTAGCTCTGTAGGATGTACCCTTTCCCAGTTTAATGCTCTGTTGTTTATTCACTCAGCAATTACTACCTTTGTGTCCTAGTACATTGTACAGAGCGGCGGCTTGGGTCAATCAGGTTAGAAAAGTTTTTTACTTTCTGGCTTGAGTATACCCCTCGTCGAGCCCTGAGGCCATGCGCAGGTTATCCGCGCTAGTCCTCCCCCTGGTAGGCAGGGAAGTAACCTGGGGGACGACGAGGGGTGAATCATAAAAAAATTACTTCATGGATTCCCCAATCCCCCCAACCCCAACAATTGAAAGACAAAAGCAGAAACGTCCTAATTCCGAGGACGTTTCAAATATATTTAAAAATAATAGTAAAATGTCAAAGTCTTGGCCGAGGTTTCTCTTAATTGAGAGTCCCTCTAAAGACCTTTCGAAAGTGTCGCCATTTTTAATAGCTAAGGGGATAGCTGGCTTGGCCGGTGAGCCCAAGGCTATTAAAAAACTAAAGAACGGGACACTCTTAATAGAATGTGCCAAAGAACAGCATGCTACCATGCTCCTTAAATCATCGTCTTTGGCAGACATTCCTATTAAGGTGTCTCCCCATAGGTCTTTAAATTCTAGTAGAGGTGTAATACGTTGCCGGGACCTTGAAGGCAGCAGTGAGGAAGAAATGGTAGAATACCTTTCTTCTCAAGGTGTACAACACGTCAAAAGAATTAGTGTTCGTCGAGGAGATAAGGTGATTCCAACAAGCACCTACATCCTCACATTCAATCGTCCCGACATACCAAAGACTCTCAAGGCAGGTTATTTAAACATACCTGTGGATTCCTACATATCCAACCCTCTTCGTTGCTACAAGTGCCAAAAGTTTGGACACAGCAAAACTGTCTGCAGAGGTAAAGACACCTGCGCTCGTTGTGGCCATGAAGGCCATGATAGCGCTACCTGCCAGGCTGAGTTTTGTTGTGTAAATTGTAAGGGAAAGCACTTTGCTTATTCCCGTGAATGTCCAATATGGCAGAAAGAGAAGAGAATCCAACAGGTTATGTCAGAGCGGAAAATACCATACTTTGATGCTCGAAAACAGGTAGATTTGACTGCACTTTTTCCCATTCCATCTGAAGGGAAGTCTTTTGCAAGTGCAGTTAAAGTCTCTTCTAAAACCATATCTGTTCAAACAGATATAACCTGGCCTTATAAGCAGAAAAAACCTAAGACTTTGACTATTACATCAGATCATATAAAAGGGGTTTCGAGCGCCACTGAGAGCTCGACTCAAAGCACTACCCCTCTACCTGATGAGGTTGTATCCTCCTTGCCTCCATCTAGAGATATTGAGATTATTCCCAATACTCCCACACAAAATGGCAAGGGGGCTTCTCCCTTGCACTACTCTAAAGCTGACGCTGCTGATTCCAGTTCCACTGGGTCAGGGGTGCAGTTTAAGAGTATACCATCCGCAAAGGAGAATATAGTGCATTCTAAAAAACATAAAAATTTATCAAAGTTTCGAGAGAAAGATTCAAAGGGTTCAAAAAACCCTATCACTCTCTTCAATAAATATGGGGATGATCTGATGGACGGCATTACTGTAGTGGATGTCCATGTGAACCCACTCAGTAAGCCGCCAAAACTTAAATTTCCCTGACAATGGTAAATTCCATTATTCAATGGAATTGTCGTGGTTTAAAACCAAATTTTAATGAAGTTCAATTATTTATCCAAAAATACAATCCTTTAGCTATTTGTTTACAGGAAACCTTCTTAAAGAATTCTGACACTTTGTCTTTTAGACATTTTGTTGGTTACCATCATCACTCAGTTGGTGATGGTAGGGCTCATGGGGGTGTTTCTATTATTCTTAATGGAGATATTCCTCAGAGTCAAGTCACCCTCAACTCGCCTTTACAGGCAGTTGCAGTTAGGGTGACTTTGCATATTCCTCTAACACTCTGCTCTGTATATCTTCCACCCAGTTTACATCTTAATCCCAGAGATCTTGATGACCTTGTTGCACAGCTTCCTCTCCCGTTTATTATTACGGGGGATTTCAATGGTCATCATTCGCTCTGGGGTAGTCCAGATGATAACAACAGAGGTAAACAAATAGCGGACTTCATTAACATTAATAATTTGTGTTTATTAAATGATGACTCGCCTACTTATCTACATCCTGCCACAGCTTCTTTTTCTTCCCTAGATCTCACCATTTGCTCTCCGGTCCTGTTTCAGGATTTTTCATGGAGGGTAAATGAAGATCTATGTGGTAGTGACCACTTTCCTATCTTGATTGATAATAATGGTCCCTCTCCGGTCGAAAGACCTCAGAGGTGGAAGTTGCATAAGGCCGATTGGGCTCTTTTCGAATCTTTGTGTCTCTTCTCTTTTGATACAAAGGAGTTAGAAGATGCAGATGAGCCCATGGCCTTATTCACTTCAATTCTTCAAGATGTGGCTGAGCAGGCGATTCCAAAAACCACGACTACACCAAAACGTTTCAATAAACCATGGTACAACGATGACTGCAAATCCGCTCTTAAAGAGCGTGATCGCATCCTGAGGCGATTAAAGAACCATCCTTCCATGGAGAATATTGCGGCATACCAGATGGTCCGGGCGAAGGCTCGTAGAACCATACGTCAAGCAAAGAAATCTTCATGGCAAGGTTACGTCTCAATGATTAATTCCCGTACCACATCTAAGTCGGTATGGGATAGGATTCGTAGGATTAAAGGTAAAAGTAGTGCATTATCAGTTAATCATTTAAATGTTGATAATACCACCTTAACAACATTTCCTGATATTGCTAATTCTCTGGCCAGTACTTTTTCATTTAATTCATCATCCAATTTCTCCTCCGATGCCTTTCGAGGCATTAGACAACAACAGGAGAAAAGGCGACTTAATTTCAAGTCCCGCAATGATGAATGCTATAATGATACCTTTTCCATTGCAGAGATTCGGGATTCGCTAAAGCGAGCTCGAGATACT